GCCAGGCAGTCCTCCAGCTCTACGCTGTCCTCAGCACCCTCTGGCCTGAGCTTGCCTCGCTGACTCAGCAGAAGATAAGGAACAACACTGGGACCCAGCGTCTGGTGATCAAAGCAGACAAGATCCCCACCCTGGTCATATAAGACTTTCTCATGGAATCCAGCACCCAGCTGCAGGCATAACCACAGACATTGCTCATAAGTCTGTAATCCCAGCTACTGGGGCAGAGATCAGGAGGATCAAGGTCTGAGGCTAGCCTGGGGCAAAAAAAAAAAAAAAAAAAAGACCCTACCTGGAATCAAAGGTGGGGGGTTACTACTTAAGTGGTAGAGGACCTGCCTACCAAAACATGTGGTACTGAGTTCTACCCTCATCTTAAAAAATAAAGCACTCGGAGCTGGGAAGGTGGCTCAGTGGTAGAGTGCTTGCCTTGCATGCCTGAGGCCCTGGGTTCAATTCCTCAGCACCACATAAGCAAAAAGAAAAAAGCCGGAAGTGGTGCTGTGCCTCAAGTGGTAGAGGGCTAGCCTTGAGCTGAAGAGCTGAGGGACAGCACCCAGGCCTAGGGTTCAGGCCCCATGACCAGACCCAAAAAATAAAGCACTCCTAGAACTTGGTCTGTGTGTGATGGGATATTCCTGCAATCCCAGCTACTCTGCAGGCAGCTACTCTGCAGGCTGAGTTGGGTAGAGCCGCATACAGGCTAGGAGTTTTGAGGCCAGCTTGGCTACTCAAAAACACGTCAATGATGCTTTCTCTGGTCCCTTTAAGATCCACCCCCTCTCAGCATACCACAAAATTATGACTCCTCTGCTGCATTTCCAACCTCCCCTTTCTTTGGGGTAATGGTGGAAATTTCTTGTTTATGTAACAGGGCCTTGTTATGCTGCTAAGCCATACCTTCATCCCTGGCCTCAGGTTTTTGCCCAGCCTGCCAATGCCTTTTGTATAACTGCATTAAAAGTATGAACCATGCATACATAGCTTATTTACTTTGTGTGTGTGTATGTGTGTTGTTGTGGGGCTTGAACTCTGGGCCTGAAACTGTCCTCAGCTCTTCAGCTCAAGGCTAGTGCTCTACCACTTAAGCTACAGCACTACTTCCGGTTTTCTGGTGGTTTATTGGAGATAAGAGTCTTACTGACTTTCCTTGCCTGGGCTGGCTTTGAACCAGGATCCTCAGATCTTAGTCTCCTGGATAGCTAGGATTATAGGCGTGAGCCACCAGCACCCAGCCTTATTTTTTTAAATACTGGTGATTAAATCCTGGTCCTCATGTTTAGTAGACAAGCACTTTACCCTTTGAACCTGGTAAAACAGCTCCTGGCTTATTTTGTTTGGGAATTTTTTTTTTTTTTTTTTGAGAAAGGGTCTTGCTTTTTTTTGCAATTTTCCTATCTCTGCCTCTTAAATAGCTGGGACTATAGTCATTTGCCACCATATCCAACTCTATATTTCTTTTTAAAACACACAAGGGAATATACTCCAAATGTACACCAAAAATATTTTTCATTATCATAAATCGTTTTTTATAGTAGCCTTGAACTCTTGACTGTTCTGCCTCTGTCTTTGAGGGCTAGAACATTTTTATTACCTTAGCAAGATTACTTTTTATTATCTTAGTAAGATTTTAAATGCCCACTTAGTTAATCCTAGTTCCTCCCCTCGGCTCCCAGCAGTCTTTTCTCCCTGAACATGCCAGACAAATGACATCATACCAGAGTCTCTGGTGTGGCTTGGGCCGGCCATGAATCCCGTCATTTCTGTATGCAAGGTCACATTTTGCTTGTCCATATGCAGCAGACAGGACAATTGGTTTCCAGTTTCCTCCCCCAGATAAACTTCCCTTGGGGGCTGGGAAGGTGGCTCAGTGGTAGAGCGCTTGCCTTGCATGCATGAGGCCCTGGGTTCGATTCCTCAGTACCACATAAGCAAAAAGAAAAAAGGGCAGAAGTGGCACTGTGGCTCAAGTGGTAGAGCGCTAGCCTTGAGCTGAAGAGCTGAGGGACAGCGCCCAGGCCCAGAGTTCAGACCCCACTACTAGACCCAAAAAACAAAAAAAACAAAAAACTTCCCTTGTGCCCCACCAGAATGTGGGCTCCTTGAACATGTAGGAGACCTAGCAGGTGCTGAGTAAATGCATGCCAAAGGGATGAAGGAACAACTTTCAGGTAGTGGTGAGCACACCATGCTGGACCAGGGTAAGGAGAGGAGTGATGGGTGGGCTGTCTGCAGTCAGGGCAGGCCCCTTGAGGGATGGACCTCTGAGTATAAGGGTCATGAACTACACACACTTGTGCTGCTTGGGGGAGGCTGGGCTAAAAAGGGGTGTACAAGGCCACCTGACCTGAGCCAGTGCTGGGGAGGGGAGGCTGGACTCAGCTGGATGCCTCTTAAACTTCAATCCTCAGATCTCAGCTTTCTGAGTAGTTAGGATTACAAGTGAAAACCACTGGCACCCAGCTTAGTATCTTCTAAAGACACGCCCTTGCTATGTTGCTTAGGTTGGCCTTCAGCCTGCCATCCTCTGCCCTCTGACTCTTGAGTGCTGCCCAGTACATGGAAATTGCCACCATGCCCAGCAATAATACAGCTTATAGCTGGGTGTGGTGATGCATGCCTGTAATCAACCCCTGGTGAAGGGGGTAGGTGGATCTCAAATTACAAAAAACCCTGGGCAAAGGTAATTTCATCCATCTCAAAAACAAAAACAAGCCAGGCATGGTTGCACAGACATTCAGGAGGCTGAGATAGGAGGATCACCAAGAGGAGTTGAAGACCAGCCTAGGGTACATACTGAAACCCTATCTTGGGGCAGGAGGAGCACAGGGCATGTAGATGAAATGGTAAGAGCGAATGCCCAGCATGGACAAGGCCCTGGGTTCAGTTCTCAGCTTTGGGCGCCAATCCCCAGGTTGATAGTGGTTGCAAGCCTCCTCTGAGAGGTAGAGCTTTTTTTTTTTTTTTTTGGGGGGGGGGGTCCGGTTGTCGGCCTGAACTCTGGGCCTGGGCTCTGTCCCTCAGCTCTTCAGCTCAAGGCTAGCGCTCTACCACTTGAGCCACAGCACCACTGCTGGCCTTTTCTTTTTGCTTATGTGGTACTGAGGAATCAAACCCAGGGCCTCCTGCATGCAAAGCAAGCGCTCTACCACTGAGCCACCTTCCCAGCCCAGGTAGAGCTGTTTCAAAAGCTGTTAAAGCTCCTTTAAAATCAGCTATTGCCCTCCAGCAAGGGACGAGGAAGAAGTGGAGAGAAGGCAGGTGTCCCCTCTGCTGGCCAGACAGCAGGCCTCCAGATCCCTCCCCCACAATGTGATGGGGCCTGCACAATTACAAAGTCATTCTGTCAGGTGTATTTCTAATAGCACCCCCAAAGATACCTATTAATACAGTGCTTTCTTTTATATGCACTTTGCAGGTACCAGTCTCGGAAATTAATCCATCTCAGGTCACAGTCACCCCAGGATAGCTGTCACCTACAGGGGAAGGCCACATAGCTTCCTGGTCTCCCTGTGGCTGTTCCTGAAGGCTGGCCACCTGCCTCTGGAGACCAGAGAGGGGCTGTGACCTGAAACCAAGCTTGAAGCCCTTGACAGGGTCAGAATGCATTGTGGTTCCCAGGAGGGCTTTTCCGGAAGTTTGCAGCCCCCATCCCCAGGGCCAAGGCTGAAGCTGGCAAGCAAGCCTTTCCATTTCCCAGGGAGGAAAGTCGGGGTGAAGCCGGGGAGGGGGTGGGTGAGTCAGAGCTCAGGAGCTTCTTATGGGGACAAAGGCTGAGGGTGGGGCTCCTCGGAATTCCTGGGGCGGGCAAATTGGGTCCCTCCCCCTGCCCTGAGGCACAGTTTAAGCTCTCCGGGCCTCCCTTTCCCCACACACCTCAGCACCATGGAGTTCGACCTGTCTGCAGGTACGACCCCAGGGAGGGAGTGACCCCGGGAGGGAGTGGCACAACCCACGTCCTGGGGTCCTCACGAGGGGAGGGGGGTGCACCTGACTTCTCCTCTCTGCAGCCCTGGGCTCCACTTCCAGCAAGCCAGCAGGGGCAGGCCAGGTGGTAGACCCCAAGTCCTGTCCCCACAAAGCTCAGGGCGGGCCAAAGGCAGGCGCCGCTCAGCACCCGAAGGTAAGTGGCCCGGGGTGGGAGGCCGGCCCGGGTGCCGGGGCCTCCCACGCTGGGGGGGGGCTGGGTAGGGGTCCCCGCTCACTGCACACCCCACCCAGCAACGCCACGGGAGCTCCTCGGACTCCAGCAGCAGCAGCAGCAGCTCCAGCGAGGCGGAGTCAGAGGGGAAGGTAAGGCCGGCCGGGCCGGGGGCGCGGGGCAGCGCCGGGGCGGGGGGCGGGCCCGTGCCCAGACCGCAAGTCTCCTCTCCCACCCGCCGCCCGCGGCGCACCGCAGGCCGCCGGCTGCAAGCAGCGCAAGCCCTCCCCGGACAAGGCCAAGAAGCCCAAGAAGAAGGAGAAGAAGGGAAAGAAGGAGAAGGCCCCCCATTGACGGCAGGCGGGCGGGGCCATTAAACCTTCCCCCCCCTTCGCGCCCGGCCGCAGCTCTCTGCCGCCCCCTGCCGGCATCCCGCGTCGCCGCCCTCCGCGCGCGCCCGGCCGCCGCTCTCCTCTGCCCCGCCCCGTCCCGCCCTCCGCGCGCGCGCCCGGCCGCCGCTCTCCTCTGCCCCGCCCCGTCCCGCCCTCCGCGCGCGCGCCCGGCCGCCGCTCTCCTCCGTCCCGCCCTCCGCGCGCGCGCCCGGCCGCCGCTCTCCTCTGCCCCGCCCCGTCTCGCCCTCCGCGCGCGCGCCCGGCCGCCGCTCTCCTCTGCCCCGCCCCGTCCCGCCCTCCGCGCGCGCGCCCGGCTGCTGCTCTCTTCTACCCCGCCCTCGCTCTCCCCCCCCCCCCCACTCCCCCTCCCCTGCCCGTCCCAGGCCGCCGCCTTCTGCCCCGCCCCGTCCGCGCCCTCCGCGTCCGTCAGGGCCGCTGCGCCCCCACCAACAACCCAAAGCCGGGGCCGCGGAACGTCAGGTTTATTGTTTCCTTGTGCAGCAGGAAAAAATCAGCACCTTGGCGGGGAGGGTGGGAGGCCGGGCCGGGCCAGCCGGGGGTGAGATGAGTCTGCGGGAACCGGGCCGGGCTCACCGCACCAGGTGGAAGGTGAGCCAGTACATGAGCAGGGGCTGCGCCGCCGCCACCGCCATGGTCAGGTACATGCGCAGCTGGTTGCGCGCCCCGCGCACCGGGACCCCCTCCGCCGCCGCCTCCGACAGGATCTTCAGCCGCAGGGTTCGGATCTGCGGGGAGAGGAGAGAAGGGGACGGGGTGAAGGGTTACCCCAAGTCCCTGCAGCCTCCAGTTCCTGCTGGGAGGGGGGGGGACTCAATCCCCTCCTCCCTTCTTGGTCTTGGAGGCAGAAAACAGGAGGTCCCAGACTCCGAGGCCAGGCCCAGCCCTTCCTTGGGAACTTCCTGCCAAAGCCGCCCGTGTATGGGTCAGTCGACAACCGTCCTTTTTTGGGGGGAGCCTCCACAAGCGTGGCAAGCGGTCTACCTCTGAGCTACTACTAGCACAGCTCTTCAGATGGCAACTTTTGTTCTTTTCTGCGTAGTTTGCGACTGTCTTGTTTTCTGCTCACCCCAGTCTTCCCAGGACCCTCACCAGCATCCCTTTTTTTTTTTTGCAAGGCTGGGCTTTGAACTCAAGGCCCCACACTTGCTGACCAGTGTTCTACATCTGACCCACATCCCCAGTCTAATCGTTCCATTTTACAAAATGTGTGTCAGGTTTAGGCAGAGGAAGTGATTTGCTGTAAAATCCTGGTGAAGACTGAGGTCAACCTAAGGGTTCAGTCGCCAGCATCCCACTCCGTTTGAATGGGCTTTTTTTTTTTTGGGGGGGGGGTCCGGTCGTGGGGCCTGGGCGCTGTCCCTCAGCTCTTCAACTCAAGGCTAGCGCTCTACCACTTGAGCCACAGAACCACTTCCAGTTTTCTGTGGTTAATTGGAAATGAGTCTCACAGACTTCTGACCTGGCTGGCTTTGAACTATGATCCTCAGATCTCAGAGTAGCTAGGATTACAGGTGTGAGCCATGGGTACCCAGCTGAACAGGCTTTTGAGAAATCTTATGGGGACATGTGGGCTGGAAAGCCCATCATGTGAAGGAAGGAAGCAAAGGTGAGGGGTTTCCCTGGAACCAGCATGCTACCACCCCCAGCATCCGGGCTGGGTCTATCCCTCTAGGCCCCAGCATGATCACCCCTCTTCCAGGAAGCCCTCCAGGCAGAAGTGGCCACTCTAGATCCCTTCAGTTCACTAATATGACTGTGGTTTAAGTTCCTGGAGCTCCTCTGCTTGGATGTCCTGAGGGGTCAGCCCGGGAGGCCTCTGGCCTCAGCCTCACACACCCTGGGCCCAGGCTTACCATAAACACAAAGATGGACATGCAACACCAGCCCAGAACCAGGTAGTAGCCAATCTTCCCAAAGAGCAGGCCCATGAGGACCCCGCCGATCATCCTGGAGGCAGGGAGAGAGGGGAAGCCAGGTCTGAGGAAGAGGCCTGAAGGCTGGGGCTGGCAGGCAGAGTATGGGGCACTCACCCGACATATTTGTAGCCCAAGAAGGCCACCAGGTCGATGGTGGTGAGGTCGGTGTTGACTGTGACCAGGTAGAGGCTGAGCAGGATGGCTAGCACCTCCACGGTCAGCCAGGCCAGAGCTGAGCTTGCCTGGAGTCCCAGAAGGTCTGGGGAAAACCTGCCAGGACCAACACCCAAACCCTGTCATTGGTCTCCTGTCATCACTGGAGTCCCCAAAGATGGGTGGCAGCCTGCCATGACAGCAGGCTTGTCCCTAGACTGTGACACCCACAGCAGTCAGGGCTGGGCAAGAGGACCAGGGAAGGCTTGTGATGGACATAGGCAAGAGGAGGTATTCCAGAAGACAGTATGGCTAAGCTGATATCATGACGGCTAAGGAGCTGGTAGGGGAAGGAGAGCTTGGTTTTTGTGCCTCATCTAACTGTTTCTAATGGCATTTGTTTTCAGTGCCACAAAGGAAAGGTGCAGGGGACTAGGAGAGGTGGAGGTGAAGAGGTGACACTGGCTGGGAGATAATGGTGAATGAGCAAGTGCTGGGCAGGTGACATGGGGGAGAAACATATTTTTGGGCCAAAAGAAATGGATGTGCAGCCAGGCGCCTGTGGCTCATGCCTGTGATCCTAGCTACTGAGGAGGCTGAGATATGACGGTCACGGTTCAAAGCCAGCCCAGGCAGGAAAGTCTGTGAAACATCTCCAATTAACTGCCAGAAAACCGGAAGTGGCGCTGTGGCTCAAGTGATAGAGTGCTAGCTTTTCAGCTCAGGGACAGCGCCCAGGCCCAGAGTTCAAGCCCCATAACTGACAAAAAAAAAAATGTACAATGACCCTGGGGTCAGAGGTTCTGCAGATGCAGGGACAGAAGAGCAGAACAGCAGGCAGGGTGAACAAAGCAGCAGCCAGGACTAAACATTCCAGCTACTGCTGGAGTCAGGAGGTATTGGGGGAGGGGAGGGCCTCTTTTAAGCAAATGAGGAAGAGGACAGATCTGGGGCCAGAGGCCAAGAGGAAGGAGTGGGAGCAGGGATAGAACAAAAATGGTGATAGCAATGTTTCAAACCAACTAGGAGCCAAGGTGGTCCTAGGAAAGGTGTTCTATGAGGAAGAGACTTAAGACTTCCAGACTGCGCTACTGCCCCTCAACCCAGCCCTCCAGCCCAGGCCTAGCCTTACCTGTCCTGGGTTCCCAGTGCAAGTCCTGCCACCAAGATGTAGGTGATGAAAGCCATCGCTGGGGGAGACAGGGACACTGATCAGAGGACAAAGGGCCATTTGGGGCCTCTGAATATCCAGCCCCCTGCCATCAATAAAAATCAGGGTGCAATGGTGCCTGCCTGTAATCCCAGCTAGAGGGAGGAGACAGACCTGGAATGTAGAGATCCGGAGCGTTGACATCAAAGCGGGGTGCCACAGGGGTGTCCTGCTGGTACTGTACCTCCCAGTCCTGTAGAGTGAGGGGGGAATGAGTAGAAGCCCAGAAATGGGGCTTCTCCTGCCCTGTTTATAGCCCCAGCCCCTGGGCAGGGGTGCTCACCTGGTGTAGGTAAGGGAAGATGAGCAGGCCCAGTTTTTTGCCCACATACACTGTGTCCACAGCGAAGTAATACTTGAGCTTCGAGACAGGGATGAAGCGGTCGATCTGGGGAGGCAGAGCTCAAACCTGAGGCTGTGTGGCCTCTGTCTGACCCCCCACATGCACCCCATTCCCACTACTCCCCACCTACTTACATTCTTATCCACAAGTTCCTTGCCCTGGGCCGCCAGGCTGCTCCCATAGGCCACGGCCATGTCAGAAACAGGATTTGTTAAGAAGGCTGCCTGGGGGGACGCAGAGGTGGCGGGGTAGCCCAGGTTGCCTGGTGCCCGCTGAGCGCCATAGCCCCGGCTGTGGGCTGAACTGGTGTCGTCAAAAAGCTGGTGGGGGTCTGCCATGCCTGGCTGGGACATTGGGACCCTTCGCTTGGAGGCTGCAGGGGAAGAGGATGGGGGGGGGCACTCATTGACTCTGCAACAAACCCTCCGTTTCCCCCACAGGGGGTGAGGACCCCAAAGGAGAGTACTGTAACAGGAGAGGGGCTGTCAGGGGTAGATCTGCCTACCAGCCATGCAGGGCATGAAGCCCTGAGTCCAAACCTCGGTACTGCCACACACACACACAAAGAAAATATTATGACTTAACTCATCCAATCCACCAATTTCTGCTAATATTTGTATCTTCATTTCAGAAGAGAAAAGTGAGTCCAAAGACACTCAGCCTCAAAGCTATGCCGGTAGTAAGAGGCAGAGCCAGCTTCCAAGAATTTGTAAAACCCAGGCTTTGGTGGCTCATGCCTGTAATCCTAGCTATTTTTGAGGAGGCTGAAGATCTGAGGATCACAGTTTGGTCTTCCTTGCCAGGCTGGGCAAGGAAGTCCATGAGACTCTTATCTCCAATTAACCACAAAAAACCAGAGTGGAAGCCAGGTGCTGGTGACTCACGCCTGTAATCCTAGCTACTCAGGAGGCTGAGATCTGAGAATTGAGGTTCAAAGCCAGCCTGGGCAGGAAAGTCCGTGAGACTCTTATCTCCAATAAACCACTAGAAAACAGGAAGTGGCGCTGTGGCTCAAGCAGCAGAGCATTCATTCGCCTTAAGCTGAAGAACGCAAAGACAGCGCCCAGGCCCAGAGTTCAAGCCCCAACCGAAAAAAAAAAAAAAAAAAAAAAAAAAAGCCAAAAGTAGATCTGTGACTCAAGTGGTAGAACACTATCCTTACAGCACAAAATCTCAGGGACAGTGCCCCAGAGTTCAAGCCCTAGGACCTAAATAAATAAGATTGTAAAAGAATGAGACTAGGGCTGGGAAGGTGGCTTCGAGGTAGAGTGCTTGCCTAGCATGCATGAGGCCCTAGGTTTGATTCCTCAGTACCTCAGTACCACATAAATAGAAAAAGCCAGAGTAATGCTGTGGCTCAAGTGGTAAGAGTGCTAGCCTTGAGCAAAAGAAGCTCAGGGACAGTGCCCAGGCCCTGAGTTCAAGCCCCAGGGCTGGCAAAAACAAAGATTAAGGCCAAGGTGTGGTTCTGGGAACCAGAGTCTAGACTTGGAAGAAGACAGGGGTCAAATTATCCAATCCAGAGCCCTCAGGCCTCTTGTAGAATGGAGTTAACTCTCCTGCCTGGGCAGGGGCTGGTGTGAGACAAAATGACACCCCCAAACTTCTCAGCCCCACAAAAAGCATCTGTCCATGTCACTTGGCAATTGGCAGCCTCCAAATCTTCCTCTCCATTTCTTTTTTCCCCCCTTTTCCTGGGATGGGACCTAGGACCTAACCTGAAGTAGACAAATGCTCTACCACTGAGCCATAACCCTAATTCCATCCTGTCAATTCTTTTATAGCCTGAAAATAAATCCAGGTCTCTTCAAAGTCAAGCAAGCAGCATGGGCCCTGCCCATTGCCCCACTTGTAATGTCCTTGTCCTCCTACTGCTTCTTGAAAGTCCTGCTAGCCTTCCTCCCTCCACCCTTGGTAGGTAGGGTTCCCAGTTACCTACATGTTTCTCTACACTGTCAAGCCTGGGTCAGCCAACCTCCAAATCTCTGCTTCTGACACAGCGCCTGCACCTGTCTCATCTATCTGACCTCCCTGCTGGCCACAGCACTGGAGAAAACAAATGCTTGTGCCTTCCCAGAACTGGCACCTGACTGGTCCCTCTCCAGCGCCCAGGGAAATGTGGGCCAATTTTCCACCCTTGCCCTGGTTTTGTGCCTGTCACCTAGCCCAGTCTCACCCTTAGCCAGTGCCCCTCTAGCTCCTACACTCCATCTTTAGCCATGATTAATTAGTTTCTTGGCTCTAGTCCTGGGTTAAGTCACTTCCAGAACTCCCTCTGACTGTCCCTGGGCCTTATCTCAATGTCTGCAGGTACAGTCTAACATCCAGCCAGTAGTTCACAGTGTGGGTGTGTGCTAGTACTAGGGCCCAGGGCCTGAGCACTATCCCTTAGCTTTTTCATTCAAAGCTCAAAGCTAGTGCTCTATTACTTGAGCCACAGCTCCACTTCCAGTTGTTGTTTGTTTTTTTTTTTCCTGGCTAATTAAGAGTCTCGTAGACTTTCATGCCCAGGCGGGCTTTGAACTGCAATCCTTAGATCTCAGCCTCCCAAGTAGCTAGCATTACAGGTGTGAGTCACTGGCTCCTGGCACCTGAAATCTTTCATCATGCTTTTCCAGGAACTCTAAACACCACAGGCCTGATGCCTCTGGGTACCCACCACACCTCTGTCTCAGGATCTGTGCTTGCGATTTCCCATGCCTGGCCTCTACTTCCACAGTCATACATCCTTTACTCCATGCTGTCACTGTCTTCTGCTCTGTACTGGCCACTCCATGTGGACAGAATGAGCACACGGGCCTTCTCCCTCAAAAGCCCTAGTCACATCCCATTACTCCCTAAACCATCTTGCTGAATTATTTCCCAGATCGTTTAGTATCTGTATCTGAGCTGTAAGACAGCAAGAACTAGGGCTAGGTTGGGTACAACTGGGTCCTCAAATTCCAGCACAAAGAGGAGGGGGGCAAGACATTACTGAAAAATAAACCAAATGTCCAGTGTATATATGAAGATGAACTAGAGGCAGAGGCCTACTAATTCAGAGATAGGGAAAGGAGTGCAGTTAGGCTCATGCTTGTAATCCCAGCCACTCAGGAGACTGAGATATGAGGGTTGTAGTTCGAAGCCAGCCAGGGCAGGAAAATCTATGAGACTCTTATCTCCAATTAACTAGCAAAAACCCCAAAGTGAAGCTGTGATTCAAGTAGCAAAGCACTAGCCTTAAGCCAAAAAAGCTAAGGGACAGCGTCCAGGCCCTGAGTTCAAGCCCCAGGACCAACACAAAAAGAATTTTCTAAAGACCCTATCCCTAATGCACCCCATATCCCCTGCCCTAATGCACCCTATACCCCCAAGGCACCCCCTAACTTAATGCAACCCCTACCCGGGCCTGGCATCCTCACGCTGGGCGTAACTCGAAGATCCAGATCTTCAATATCCTGACCTCCGACCTGTAGTGACCTCGCCAACCGCCACTCCCGGCTCCCGCCACGCCCCTAGCCCGCCCGAGCTTCCACAGCCGGCCACGTACGCCACTTACGCAGCCGCGGCGTCCCCGCCGCCGCCAAGCCTGCCGGGTGCATCTTTCACCGCCGCCGCCGCGCCACGCCGCCGTCGCCGCCGCCGCCGCCGCTGTCTCAGCCGCGGTTCAGAACGGGCCCGCCCGGCTCCCGTAGCCACGCCCCAGGAGTGACGCTACAGCCAATGAACCACAGGACTGGCCGAAGAAGCCCCGCCCTTTCACAGGCTTGGGCGGGTGGGCGGTGCTCTACGTGGACTAGGGTGAATGACATAAAGCAGGAGGTGGGAGGGCGTGGCCTGAAATCTTCCCGGGAGTAAGCCGTGCCGGGTGTCCAGCGAGGTGGTCGATGGGAAATGGAGTCTTCTAGAAGAGGGAGCTCAATTTGGGTGACTGAGAGCATTGTGTCCTAATCAGAGTCATGAGACTTCTGTCACCTATAGATTTTTAGAGTGAATATTTAATTGTTTTTTAAACACAGGCTGGGAGCCGACTCCCGCCTAGCTACTCGGGAGGCTGAGATCTGAGGATCGTGGTTCAAAGCCAGCCCGGACAGGAAAGTCCTTGTTAGAGAAATGAACTCCCTTCTCATAGTTTAGTCCACTCCCCTTCTCCAGAGCTTAGCATGCTTCCTTCCTAGGCAACACTAGGCCCATGTAGTAAAGGCAGTAATCAGCTTCCAACTCCCTTTATCTTGGGATGGCACTTCTCTGGGACCGCTACAACCATATAAGACAACAAGAGCCCCCTTAGAGTGAACTTCAGCTGCAAGACCCCTTATCTACTATTTGGACAGCAGCCATAAATCCTAGTCTGCCAATATGAAGCCCCTGGCCCACATGTCCAAACCTCGGTCTCGGCCTCTTAGCTCCTTGTACCCCCCTCCTAAGCCTCCTAGGTTATGTAGGTCACCTCAGACAATAGCCAGTGCTGCTTCTCACTTCTCCCTTGTGAGAAGGAGTCTTGCCGGTTTGCACCTGATGTTTGTGTGGTTTTCTGGCAAAGTCTAATAATCTCCCATTTAATCTTTCAGTCCCTGAGACTGTTATCTCCAATGAACCACCAGAAAAACGGAAGTGGTGCTGTGGCTCAAGTAATAGAGTGCTCCCCTTGAGCTGAAGAGCTTAGGGACAGTGCCCAGGCCCAGAGTTCAAGCCCCATGACCGACAAAAATAAATAAAATAAATTTCCTTTCTTCTTTTGTGTGCCCGTTACTAGGTCTTGAACTCAGAGCTAAGTGCTGTTGCTGAGCATTTTTGGTTAAAGCTGATGGTCTAGATAGGAGTCTCCTGAATTTTCCTATTCAGGTTGGCTTTAAACTGTGATCTTTATATCTCAGCCTCCTGAGTAGCTAGGAATACAGGCGTGAGACACTGATTGGCAGGGGGGGGGCAGGGACCCTTAAGGGCCTCTCTGCAATGAGTCTTGCCTCAGTTCAGTTCTTTTTGTTAGTTCCCTATTCTTTACTTCCAAGACCTTTGGGTTCCACCATTTTCTCCATATTACTCCGGGGTAAGCTAGGATTATATAGACAAAGCCACTAGCATCCAGCTTACTTTTTAATTATTAAAGCAATTATTTTGCCCCTTTTTTGGTGGTGGTGGTGGTCAGGCTTGAGTTCAGGGCTTGAGAGCTGTCTCTGAGCCTCTTTGTGCTGAAAGCTAGCTCTCTACCATTTGAGCCACCAATGATACTTCCAGCTCTTTTTTTTTTTTTTTTGGTCAGTTGTGGGGCTTGAACTCTGGGCCTGAGCACTGTCCCTGAGCCACAGCACCACCTCCAGTTTTTCTGGTGGTTTATTGGAGATGAGAGTCTTACAGACTTTCCTTGCCCAGGCTGGCTTTGAACCTCGATCCTCATATCTCAACCTCCTGAGTAGCTAGGATTATAGGCATGAGCCATCAGCTCCCAGCTGTCAACTTCCAGCTTTTGAGTGGTACATTGGAGGTAAGAGTCTCAAGGGGACTTTTCTTCCCTGGCTGACATCACACCGCAACCCTCAGATCTCAGCTTCCTGAGTAGCTAGAATGAAAGGTGTGATCCACTGGTGCCTGGCTATTTTACCTTCTTTCTGGTCTATTGTGTAACAACAGTCATCTTTCAGTATCCATGGAGGATTAGTTCCAGGACCTCAATGGATACTAGAATCCTCAGACATAAAACATGATATATCGGCTGGGAAGGTGGCTCAGTGGTAGAGTGCTTGCCTCACATGCATGAGGCCCTGGGTTCGATTCCTCAGCACCATGTAAGCAGAAAAAGCAGGAAGTGGCGCTGTGGTTCCAGTGGTAGAGCATTAGCCTTGAGCTGAAGAGCTGAGGGACTACACCAAGGCCCAGAGTTCAGGCCCCATGACCAGCAAAAAAAAAAAAACCATGATATATGGCCCAGGCCCTAGTTCATATATCCTAGTTACTCAGGAGGCTGAGATCTGAGGATTGTAGTTTGAAGCCAGCACAGGCAGGAAAGTCTTTGACACTCTTACCTCCAATTAACCAGCATAAAAGCTGGAAGTGGAGATATAGTTCAAATAGATACATAGATGTCATAAATATACATAGTATTCTCTGTGTGTACATATAGTCAACCGGATCAAACTCAGGGCCTCACATATACTAGGAACATGCTCTACTGCTGAACCTTACCTCCAGTTCCATATTATTTATGTGTATGTGTCTTTTTGGGGGAAGGGGGGGTTGTAGGGCTTGAACTCAGGGCCTGGGCACTGTCCCTGAGCCTCTTTGTGCTCAAGGCTATACAGTTCTACCACTTGAGCCACAGCATGACTTCTGGCTTTTGAGTGGTTTACTGGAGATAGGACTGTTATGGGAACTTTTCTGCCCAGGCTGGCATCAAACCATGACACTCAGTCTCAGCCACCTGAATAGCTAGGATTACAGGTGTGCGCCATCAGCGCCTGGCTTCATTACATATTATTTATGATACCTGATATGATATAAATCCATATAAGGCCTTAGTGGAAGAATGCTTGCCTTGCATGCATGAAGCCCTGGATTTGATTCCTCAGTACCACATAAACCAAAAAAGCCAGAAGTGGTGGTTCAAGTGATAGAGCACTAGCCTTGAGCACAGAGAGGCTCAGGGACAGAGCCCAGGCCCTGAGTCCAAGCCCCTAGGACCTGCAATAATAAATAAATCTGATATTACTCTGTGTGTGTGCGCACGTGTGCACGCATGCATGCATACACACACCAATCCTAGGGCTTGCGCTCAGGCCCTGGGCACTATCCTTGAGCTTCTTTTGCTCAAAGCTAGTGCTCTACCATTTGAGCCACAGCACCACTTCTGATTTTCTGGTGGTTTATTGGCGATAAGAGTCTCACAGATTTTCCTCCCCTGACTGGCTTTGAACTGTGATTCTCGGATCTCAGCTTCCTGAGTAGCTAGGATTACAAGTGTAAGCCACCAGCACCAGGCTCTCTGTACAGTTTCAAGAATAGTTCCAGGCATCAGTGGCCCACGCTTAAGTTTTCTTATCTGCTGTTATAATTCAGAATTACATGGAAAGGGGTTAAGGATTCACTACACAAATGTGGCTACTCTTAGCTACTCTATTTTTATTAGCATGTATCTCTTCCTATGGACTGTCAGCCCCATTTGGGGTCCGTTCCAAGAATGGGCACAACTTTATAAATAGACCCAGTTCAGCCTATCTGAGCTGGGTTACCAGCCCCCAATTCCTGTGTGGGTTCATTGTGGTTTGAATTCTGGGCTGTCCACCAGATGGCTTCCAGGAAGGTACTGAGTTCTTTTTTTTGGGGGGGGGGTCTGGTTGTGGGGCCTGAACTCTGGGCCTGGGCGCTGTCCCTCAGCTCTTCAGCTCAAGGCTAGCACTCTACCACTTGAGCCACATCACCACTTCCAGCTTTTTCTGCTTATGTGGTGCTGAGGAATCAAACCCAGGACCTCATGCATGCAAGGCAAGTGCTCTACCACTGAGCCGCCTTCCCAGCCCAGGTACTGAGTTCTTGCTCCCCACCCTCAGAGAGGGGTGTGTGTGTGTGTGTGTGTGTGTGTGTGTGTGTGTGTGTGTGTGTGTGTGTGTGTGTGTAGAGATCCTAGAAGGACAGAAACGCCCCCACCCCACCCCCGCTCCTCCCCTCTCCCCCTTTCCAATTTGGTGCTAAGGATGGAACTCTCCCCTTACACATACTAGGTGTACAATGTGCCACTGCTACAGTCCAGCTCTCCCTCTTGGAGACATATTTAGTACCTTCTCTAGAAGACCCTGGCTCCCTCCTGCTAGTTCTCTTGATTTATCTCTCTAGGCTGGGTTATCATCTTCCGGCAGCTCAGCTCTGGTCTCTGCGGGCTGTCACTCATTCTACAGAGGGTCAGTCCCCTCCCTCTCTCCCCGACCCCCCCCCTCCCCCCGGGCCGCTAGAGCCTGTCTTGATCTCTTCTGTGTCCCCAGTACTTCCCCGGTACAAAGGGGGAAACTGGAGCAAAGATTTAATGAATAGGTGAGATACCCAGCCAGCCCATCCACAAAAGCACGGAAATCTAAGGTATCTGTCAGGATGGGGATTAGGTTCCCAGGGGGTGGATGCCAAGTAATCTCACTCCCAGGTGCAAGATTTTGGCAAGGGGAGGGAGGAAGACGGGATTGCAATTTGAATCTCATCCGGACGCAGGGCACCACCTAAGCACCTGTGGCTCTGAGGAGTTGACTCAGGCTCGGCCCTGTCTTAACTCCAGATGTCCCCGTGTGTGTATGTGTGTGTTTTGGGCGTGCCTCAGTTTCCCAGCGCGGAGGCGTTGCTCCAGCCAGCCTTCCCCCCCCACACACCCCACCTCTCTGCTCCTCCCCCTTTTCCTTCTTCCTCTTCAGGGCAGCGTCTCGACTTCTCTCCCGGAACTCGACTGGGGCGGCTGGGGGGCCACGTCAGCGGGGTGCCGGGAGGGGCGGGGGTCACCATGCGCCGGGACGCCGTCCTGGCGGGCGCCCTGGTGGTCTACGCCGGGTACCTGGTGCTGGGCGCGCTGCTGGTGGCTCGGCTGGAGCGGCCGCACGAAGCCCGGCTCCGGGCCGAGCTGGGGGCCCTGCGGGAGCAGCTGCTGGGACGCAGTCCCTGCCTGACGGCGCCCGCCCTGGATGCCTTCTTGGAGCGGGTGCTGGCGGCCGGACGACTGGGGCGCGTCGTGCTCACCAACGCTTCGCACCCCCAAAACACCTCGGACCCCGCCTGGGACTTCGCCTCCGCGCTCTTCTTCGCCAGCACGCTGGTCACCACCGTGGGTATGTGATTTTTTTTTAGGGACGCAGGAACCCTCATCTCGGTATTCCCCCCACCCGGGACTGGGATCCTCTTAATCTATCCCCCCAACAAAAAAGTTAGGACCTGATCTCCCCTCCATCCCGCCCTCCACACGCACACCCAAGCCCTCTCCAGCCCTCCAGGGCCCTCCTCCTGGTTTCAGCCTCTGAAGCCCCACTCTTCCACCACGACCGTCCTCCTCATCGTCCAGTCCCGGTGCCTTCAGTTCCCTCTGGGTCTAGAGCTGGCCTCAAAGTCCAGCAGAAACTCAGGACTCGCCAGATCCCAGCTGGTGGCTCTTGCCTGTCATCCTAGCTACTCAGGTGGCTGAGAGCTGAGGATCAGCGTTCAAAGCCAGCCTAGGCAGAAAAAATGTCTGTGAGATTCTGATCTCCAATTACCCAGTCAAAAGCTGGGAGAGGAGCCATGTCTTCACTCCAATCTTCTCCTCACCACAGCGCCCCAGCAGGGCCCCCACCCCTCCTCCTCTAAGGATGCCACCCAACACCCAAGGCCTTTCTTCCAGTAAAGAACGCTGGGTACCATCTAGGCCTCATGAGACCATTTCTCTGCATGTTTGGCACCTTCCTGAAAAGGCCCCAGACCCAGATCACCCCTATCCTCCTTTCCTGTAAACAGACACCAGCATGGGACCCCACCCCATCTCCACATTCCTCCCAACTAGAATGCTGTCTCCCCTGGATCTAGGGTTCCCAATCTAGTAGCCCAAATGACTGTGTGTAAGCAACCATCTTGGAGAGGCCCCCTTACCCTCCAGAAGGACCAATGACGTTGCTGGGCCCTCAGCCAGGACCCCCTACCCTCTGTCCTCAAATGGCCTTCAAACAGAGGAAGACCCGGGCCGGGAAGGTGGCTCAGTGGTAGAGTGTTTGCCTTGCATGCATGAGGCCCTGGGTTCGATTCCTCAGCACCACATAAGCAAAACGAAAAAAAAAAGCCAGAAGTGGCGCTGTGGCTCAAGTGGTAGAGCGCTAGCCTTGAGCTGAAGAGCTGAGGGACAGCGCCCAGGCACGGAGTTCAAGCCCCACGACCGGACCCCCCAAAAAAAAGTAAAAAAAAAAAACAAAAAAACAGAGGAAGACCCTCCGTTAAAGGCATCCCTTTTCATGTGTGTGTGTGTTGAGGAAGGGTCTTTCGGTGTAGCAGAGGAGAGTGGCCTAGAACTCATTGTGTAGTTTACTCTGTCCTCAAGCTCCCAATCCTCCTGTCTGCACTATCCAAGTGCTGGGATTACAGATGTGTGCCACCATCCCCTTCCTAGACCTTGCTCTATGAGAGTCTCTCTCTCTCTCTCTTTTTGGTTGGTCATGGGGCTTGATCTCTGGGCCTGGACACTGTCCCTCAGCTCTTCAGCTCAAGGCAAGCATTCTACCACTTGAGCCACAGCGCCACTCCTGGTTCTCTGGTGGTTCATTGGAGATAAGAGTCTCACAGCCTTTCCTGCCTGGGCTAGCTTTGAACTGTGACCCTCAGATCTCAGCCTTCTGAGTAGCTAGGGTTAAGGCCTGAGCCACCAGCACCGGGTGAGAGTCTCTTTAAACTCATGAATGATACTTCCTCCCCATTTGGGACCCTGAGACCTCTCAGTAAGATCCCTAGAACCACCTGAACTCTTGGGGACTCTAGTATTTTCTATGTAGGTCAGAGCTTGGCTCTGCACTGGCTATCCCTGACCTCAGGTGCCCTGCTCAGCCCAGATTTCCCATGCAAGGACAATTCCTAGGGACCCAGCACCCTTCCAACCTCCTCTAGATCCACAGTCAGCACCTCCTTCCTCACCCAACACTGCCCAGTGTGTTTGGGAACTGAAATTCTCTCCCCTGAGGGCACGCTAGCCCTTCTGCACCCAGATCTGTCCTCTGCACCCATTGGAGACACTTCCCTGTCCATTCTTTTTATTTTTGGGGGTTGGGGGAAGTGGGTAGTCCTAGGGCTTGAATTCAGGGCCTCAGTGCTGTCCCTGAACTTTCTTGAGCCACAGCTCCAGTTCTTGCTTTTTTTTTTTCTTTGGGTCCAGTTGTGGGGCCTGAACTCTGGGCCTGGGCGCTGTCCCTCAGCTCTTCAGCTCAAGGCTAGCGCTCTACCACTTGAGCCACAGCGCCACTTCCGGCTTTTTTCTTTTTGCTTATGTGGTGCTGAGGAATCGAACCCAGGGCCTCATGCATGCAAGGCAAGCGCTCTACCACTGAGCCATCTTCCCAGCCCCTCTAGTTCTTGCTTTTTACTGGTTAATTGGAGATAAAAATCTCACAGATTTTCCTGCCCAATTTTTTTTTTTTTTGGGTCGGTCATAGGCTTGAACTCTGGGCCTGGGTGCTGTCCCTTAGCTCTTCAGCTCAACGAGAGCACTCTACCACTTGAGCCACAGCACCACTTCCAGTTTTCTGAGTGGTTTATTGGAGATAAGAGTCTCATGGATTTTTCCTGCCCGGGCTGGCTATGAACCGTGATGCCCAGATCTTAGCCCCCTGAGTAGCTAGGATTACAGGCATGAGCCACCGGCGCCCTCTATCCTGTCCAATGTTGACTTCAAATCTTGATCTCAGATCTCAGCCTCCTGAATAGCTAGGATTGCAGGAGTGAGTCCCCAGCAACTAGCTTCACTCTTCACTCGACATACAGCAAGGAGTTGGGCCCCTTTCCATCATTCTCTAAGCTTGAGTACCCCATTGCCTCCTGTTGGGTATCTTGGGATCAAAAGGTCCTCTGCTTGAGGACCCCACTTCCAATCCCATTTGCAATCCAGGAAAACACTTGTTGGTGCCTTCTCCTTCCTTCCTTCCTTTTTTTTTTTTTTTTGTTGGTCATGGGGCTTGAACTCTGGGCCTGGGTGCTGTCTCTCAGCATTTCAGCTCAAGGCTCGCTCTCTACCACTTGAGCCACAGTGCCACTTCTGGTTTTCTGGTGGTTTATTGGAGATAAGAGTCTCATTGTCTTTGCTGCCTGGGCTGCTTTGAACCACGATCCTCAGATCTCAGCCTCCTGAGTAGCTAGGATTACAGGCGTGAGCCACCAGTGCCTGGCTCTCCCTCCTTTCTTCAGACCCAGAACTACTCCAGTGTCTGTTTCAAATCGGAACATTGTTCCTTGACTTTAACATGGTGATGTAGTTCTCATGCCTGTAATCCCAGCTACTGTAGAGGCAGACATGGGGAGGATTGTGGTTAAAAATCCCAGCTACTGTAGAGGCAGACATGGGGAGGATTGTGGTTAAAAGCCAGCTTGACAAAAAATGTTAGCGAGCCTCAGGAAGCTGAGATCTGAGGATCCCAGTTGGAAGCCAGCCTAGGCAGAAAAAGTCTAAGAGGCTCTTTTTTTTTTTTTTTTTTGCCCGTCATGGGGCCTGAACTCTGGGCCTGGGCGCTGTCCCTCAGCTCTTCAGCTCAAGGCTAGCACTCTACCACTGGAGCCACATCGCCACTTCCGGCTTTTTCTGTTTATGTGGTGCTGAGGAATCGAACCCAGGTCCTCATGCTCGCAAGGCATGCAACTCTACCGCTGAGCTACCTTCCCAGCCCCTCTAAGAGGCTCTTATCTCCAGTTAATCAACAAAAAGTCAGGAATGGGGCTGTGGCTCAAGTGGTTAGAGCACCAGCCTTGAAAGCCATGCAAGAAACATAAGATCCTGAGTTCAAGTGTGAGCCCCAGCACATACACATATGAAAAAAGTTACCAGAACTACCTTAACCAACAAGCTGGGTGTGGTGGTGTGAGCCTGTCCTTCCAGCTGCCTGTGAGTCAAAGGTAAGTATGACCATTGTGGTCGGAGGTCTGCCCAGACAAAGAGCCCCTACCTGAAAAATAACTAAAGTTTAAAAAAAATTGGAAGCCAGGAGTTGGTGGTTCACACCTGTAATCCTAGCCACTCAGGAGGCTGAGATCTGAGGATCACGGTTCAAAGTCAGCCTGGGTAGAAAAGTCTCCCCGTGAGATTTTTGTGTTTTTGTCCACCTGGGTGCTGTCTCTCAGCTCTTCAGTTCAAGGCTAGTGCTCTACCACTTGAGCCACAGCACCACTTCTGGCCTTTTTTTTTCTCCTTATGTGGTGCTGAGGAATCCAACCCAGGGCCTCAAGCATGCAAGGCAAGCATTCTACCACTGAGCCACCTTCCCAGCCCTCCCCGTGAAACTCTTATCTCCAATTAACCATTCAAAAACCGGAAGTGGCATTATGACCGGATGCGATAGAGTGCTAGCCTTGAGCATAAGAGCTCACAGACAGTGCCTGGGCCCTGAAGTGAAGCCATACTACCAAAAAGAAAAAAAAAAAGTGTGTGTGTGGGGGAGTGTAGCTCAAGTGGGACAGTGCTTGCGTGCTTGCTAGTAGGTATGAGGCCTAAGTTGAAACCTCAATACCACAATAAATAAAGAATAAAAACCCTAAAAGACCACACCCTGGGAAGTCCCAACCTTTTTATAGCAAGCCTGGGAAATCCCTCCCTGGCCAGATCAGGTGCTCTTTTACTGCCTCCTCTCCCCCGCCCCAGCTCTCCTGTTCTGTTTGATATGACCTGGAACAAGGAAGGAGGAGGTTGGTTCACACTGCTCCCTGATCTTCCATCTTTACTCCTTATCATTATATATATTTTAATTTAATTTAATTTTATTTATTTATTTTTTTGGTCGGTCGTGGGGCCTGAACTCTGGGCCTGGAGCTGTCCCTCAGCTCTTCAGCTCAAGGCCAGCACTCTACCACTTGAGCCACAGTGCCACTTCTGGCTTTTTCTGCTTATGTGGTGCTGAAAAATCCAACCCAGGGCCTCATGCATGCAAGGCAAGCATTCCACTGAGCCACCTTCCCAGCCCTCATTATAATTTTTTTGTCCATCTACCACTTGAGCCATAGCTCCACTTCTGGTTTTCTGGTAGTTAATTGGAGATATGAGTCTCATGGATGCCAGGCACCGGTGGCTCATGCCTGTAATCCTAGCTACTCAGGAGACTGAGATCTGAGGATCTTGGTTCAAAGCCAGCCCAGGCAAGGAAAGTCCATGAGAATCTTATCCCCAATTAACCACCGGAAAACTGGAAGTGGTGCTGTGGCTCAAGAGGTAGAGCGCTCACCTTGAGCTGAAGAGCTGAGGGACAGTGCCCAGGCCCAGTGTTCAAGCCCCAGGACTGACAAAATAAATAAATAAGAGTCTCATGGATTTTCCTGCCTGGGCTGGCTTTGAACTATGACCTTCAGATCTCAGTCTCCTAAGTAGCTAGGATGACAAGTGTGAACCACTGACACCCAGTTTGCCTTTGGCTTTTTTCTGGTTAATTGGAAATAATAAAAGTCTCTGTGTGGAAGGGAGAGGCAATGGGAAGACTGGGGTGAGATCAGGGAGGGGTCTGGCTTCCTTGGAGGTCCCAGTGGATCAGAGGACTCACCCTCACCCACAGGCTACGGCTACACGACTCCGCTGACTGACGCGGGCAAGGCCTTCTCCATCGTCTTCGCCCTCCTGGGAGTGCCCACCACCATGCTCCTGCTGACCGCCTCGGCCCAGCGCCTGACACAGCTGCTTACTCACCGCCCCTTGTCTTGGCTGAGCCTGAGATGGGGTTGGGATCTTCGGCAGGCAGCTCGCTGGCACTTGGTAGCCTTGCTAGGGATCATCATGGCTGTGTGCTTCCTGGTGCCAGCTGCCATCTTTGCCCACCTTGAGGAGGCATGGAGCTTCCTGGATGCTTTCTATTTCTGCTTCATTTCTCTGTCTACCATCGGCCTGGGGGATTACGTACCAGGGGAGGCCCCTGGTCAGCCATATCGGGCCCTCTACAAAGTGCTAGTCACAGGTGAGCTGGTGGGCCCCTGAGGGTAAGGGATCTGAGAAGGAAAGAGGGCTCCGTTCTGGGGAGCTGAGCTCCACGTGGATTTCTCACCCCTTGCCGTGTCTGCAGCATACCTCTTCCTGGGCCTCATGGCTATGGTGCTGGTGTTGCAGACTTTCCGCCATGTGTCTGACCTCCATGGCCTCACCCAGCTCATCTTGCTGCCCCATCCGTGCCCTGCCAGGCTTGGGGAAGAAGAAGAGGATCACACGGACATTCTGCAGCGCCAGCCTGAGCTACACCAGCACCTGTCCACCGATGTTCATGCTGACTACGAGTCCATCCCCAGGTAGCTGGGCAGGTGTTTCCTCACCCAGCAGGATAGACTTGGCCAGGGCGATGGGGCCCATGTGGTGGTGGCTAGAGCTGACCAAGCACTGGTGTGAGCCAGGCATTGCGGTTGATTGTCTCTTTCTCTTTCTACATCCTGGGTTCCTCTGAGCACTAAGATTCCTTTTTTTTTTCTTTTGTGCCCATCCTGGGACTTGAACTCAGGGCCTGGGTGCTGTCCCTGAGCTTTTATGCTCAAGGCTAGTGCTCTACCACTTGAGCCACAGCTCTACTTCTGTCTTTTCTTAATTGGAGATAAGAGTCTCACAGGCTTTCCTGCCCAGGTTGGCTTCAAACTGTGATTCTCAGATCTCAGCTTCCTGTGTAACTAGGTTTACAGGCAAGAGCCACCAGCACCCAGCTTAATTTCCTTGATCTTTCCTTTCCTCCTACCCCACTCAAGTGTTCTCCTTGCCTCTGTCTTCCTCTCTTGCTGTCCCCTTTTGACTTACTCTCTTACTTATTCCGTGTCCCTTTCTCAACAGTAGCTGGTTCTGTCAGACTGTCAGCTAGAACTCCAGGTACTAGGCCAATGGTTTTATAGTGGACAAGTGACTGCTCCTCTGTAAGCCTAGATGTCCTTAGCTGTCATATACAAAGAATGTACTCATTCATCCAAAGAGCTTTCCTTTGTGCTGCCCTTGTGCTAGGGACACAGAGCTGAGGGACGGGACCGTGGGCTTGGCTGGCCCTGGGTTCATAGACCAGATGCCTGCAGACCTAGTCACAAACAGAATTAATCTTCCAATGGGCATGATGTCTCTGGGTGAGGCAGAAAGAAAAAAAGTGCAAGCAGACTGGTGGGGGATAATGTGGGGGAGGAATAGGGCATAGGAAGCAAGGAAGGTCATGGAGGGCTTCCTGGAGGAAGAGACAATTGAGCTAAGACCTGAGGAGTGGTTAAGAGAAGACGGTGTCCCTGCGTGTTATTACTCACAGGGCCCAGGCAGAGAACCCTGAGGTGGGCATAGCCAGGTGATAGCATCTTCTGAGACCAACACAAGACCCCAGTCCAAGCCCAATAGCAAGGGAGGTGCTCCATTGTAACAGCTGACTTTCTTTACTGGACACTAGTTAATTGCCTGTGTGCCCCTAGACTCTGAAGCCATCCAGCTTGGGCTCACCTATTGGATGCACTGTGTTCTGTTTGTACCCCAGGGCCACTACTCTACCTCTGTTTCTGTGACATGGTGACCATCGTGGCTGGGGATGGGGCTCAGGGTAGCCTAGCATACACAAGGCCTTGGGTTCTATCCTCAACCATTAAAAAGAAAATGGCAATCAGCCAGGTACTGGTGACGCATGCCTGTAATCCTAGCTACTTGGGAGGCTGAGCTCTGAAGGCAGCTCAGGCAGGAAGTCCATGAGACTTACCTCCCACTAATCAGCAAAAACCTGGAAGTAAAGCCGAGCAACAGTGGCTCATGCCTGTAACCTTAGCTACTCAGGAGATTGAGATCTGAGGATTGTGGTTCAAAGCCAGCCCCAGGAGGAAAGTCTGTGAGACCCTTATCTCCAATTAACCACCAGAAAACAGGAAGTGGTGCTATGGCTCAAGCAGTAGAGCACTCACCTTGAGCTGAAGAGCGCAGGAACAGTGCTGAGGCCCAGAGTTCAAGCCCCACAACTGACAAAAAAATAAGCTGGAAGTAGAGGTATGGTTCAAATGGTAGAGCAGTAGCCTTGAGTGAAAAAGCCAAGTAAGAGTTCAAGGTTCTGAGAGCTGGGAATGTGGCTTAGTGGTAGAGTGCTTGCCTCGCATGCATGAAACCCTGGATTCAATTCCTCAATACCACATAAACAGAGAAGGCCAGAAATGGCTGAAGTGGTAGAGTGCTAGCCTTGAGCAAAAGCAGCTCAGGGACAGTGCCCAGGCCCTGAGTTCAAGCCCTACGATTTGCAAACAAACAAATAAAAACAAAACAAAAGGTATAAAGGAGTAAGCAGTAGGAAAGGAAGTCTTTTGTTTTTTTTTGGTCCGGTGGTGGGGCCTGAATTCTGGGCCTAGGCGCTGTCCCTCAGCTCTTCAGTTCAAGGCTAGCACTCTACCACTTGAGCCACAACGCCAAAGGAAGTCTTTCTTTTACACTCAGCATTTGCTAGTTAAATTTCTGCAGTCTTCCTCCAGGCCTGTCTGTGTCACTTATTTTATTCCTATGCAAATGGGATGTGGTGACAATTACAGACTCTGGAGACAAACCCCTAGGTATGTCCAAAATCTGTCACTTCCAAGCCATGTAAGGCTTTGTGCAGGGAATTTCACCACCCTATGCCTCAATTGGCTTGTTTTTGGAATGAGATGCAGACCTCACTACCTCAGGGACTTGAGCACCTAGAAAACTTGTGGAAGCTTTTAAACAATATCTGGCCTCAATAAAACTGCCTAAGTTTTTTTTCCCTCTCATTTCTTGTCTCTTTATGTTGTTGGTGTTCTACCATTTGAGCTATGCCTTCATCACGTCCCCCTTCCCCCCCCCCCCCCTTATCTTCAAGGTAGGCTCTTGATTTGGGCCCAGCTTGACTGGGGCTTAGCTCCTTCTACTTGTGCTTCTCTGTGTTCCTGGGAATTTCAGGTGCACATCGCTGCATGCAGCTGATATGCTTTCACCACAGTTGGGATCACAGGCATGTACTACTATGCCCATCCATTGGTAGAGAAGGAGTTCTGTTAGATTTTACACTCCTTTTTTTTTGCCGGTCATGGGGCCTGAACTCTGGGTCTGGGCGCTGTCCCTCAGCTCTTCAGCTCAAGGCTAGTGCTCTACCACTGGAGCCACAGCGCTACTTCCAGCTTTTTCTGCTTATGTGGTGCTGAGGAATCGAACCCAGGGCCTCATGCTTGCAAGGCATGCACTCTACCGCTGAGCTACCTTCCCAGCCCCCCCCCCTTTTTTTTTTGGTCAGTCGTGGGTCCTGAACTCTGGACCTGGGTGCTGTCCCTCAGCTCTTCAGCTTAAGGCTCACATTCTACCACTTGAGCCACAGCACCACTTCTGGCTTTTTCTGTTTATGTGGTTCTGAGGAATTGAATCCGGGGCCTCATGCATACAAGGCAAGCACTTTACCACTGAACCACCTTCCCAGCCCTGTTTTTCATTTTTTATACATTGATCTCTGCCTTTCAAGCATCTGGGACTAAAGGCTTAAGCCAATGCACCAGGTACTGGTGGCTCATGCCTATAGCTACTCAGGAGGCTGAGAACAGTGCTTCAAACACACTTTCCTGACCCAGCTGGCTTTGAATCTCAATACTCACATCTCATGAGCCAACAGTGCCCAGCTAAGAGGAACTTCTTGATGGCCTTCTTATAATTATGATTATTATATTTTTATTATCTTTAAGTAGTGGGAATCATTCAACAGAGCAGTTTATGAATACAATGAATCTTCACAGATGCCACCCCTTTCAACATTGTCCTTTGTTATTATTTTTTCATTCTTTTTTTTCCTTTGTCAGTTGTGGGGCCTGAACTCAGGGCCTGGGCGCTGTCCCTCAGCTCTTCAGCTCAAGGTTCGCGCTCTACCACTTGAGCCACAGCACCACTTCCGGCTTTTTCTGCTTATATAGTGCTGAGGAATCGAACCCAGGGTCTCATGCGTGCAAGGCAAGCACTCTAACACTGAGCCATCATCCTAACCCTGTTATTATTTTTTTAATGCGCAGAGCTTGAACTGGGACTTGAACTTGGGTCCTGGGCGCTGTCGCTCAACTCTCGCTGAGCTTTCTTTTGCTCAAGGCCAGCGCTCTACCACTTTGAGCCATTGCTCCACTTCTTCTTTTTGGTGGTTAACTGGATAAGAATCTCATGGACTTTCCTGCCGGGACTGGCTCTGCACGGTGGTCCTCAGTTCCTCAGCTAGGATTACAGGAGTGAGCTGCATGCACCTAGCTTTATCGTTCTTTGATGGTCTTTTGAAAAGCACAACCTTCGGGTCTCCCGCCCTCAAGTGCCTTGGCCCTTGAGCTCCGCCTCCAACCCTTTTCAAGCAACTCCGGATTGGGGAGGGGCGGTCCGCGTTACCACGGAGACCAACGCATTACCATGGAGACAGACGCGCGACGAGGGCCCGCCTCCGGAAGACGGAAGCGGGTTGCGGAAGCTCGAGGGACGCCATTTTGAGAACGGGCAGGAGAGACGGGAGAAGCGCTGCCAAGCAACGGTTGGCCGGTTCAAACCAAGTGACTGGTACTACGGGGTGGGGAGGAGAGGGCAGTGCCATCCCAGGGGGGATGCGGGGGGGTGGGAAGGGGTTGGGAAGGGGCGGGGAGGGAAAAAGACAGGGGAAGGGCTGTAGATTTTGTGGGACCCGCGAGAGGAGGGGCGAGGGAGGCCGAGGAGGGCGGCGAGAGGGCGGGGCGGCGGGGGGCGTGGCCGGGGCCGGCCTGGAAGATGAGCGGAGGCGGCCACTCGCTCTGGGGCATGGAGCGGACCCGACTTCACGGCGTGGAGAGGGGGCGTGAGAACAGGTGGGGGGAGAAGGTGACGCGGCTGGTGGGGAATGTGAGGATCGTGAAGGCGGGCTGGTCTTGGAACAAGGAAAGGGCGCCGGACGAGGAGAGGGACGAGGAGAGGTCCGCCGGCGAGGGCAACATCCCCGGGGAGGAGCTATTCAAAACCGAGGAAAAATTCCGGGACTCGGAGTTATTTGGAGGTGAACTACCGCACTGCTGGGACGAGGAGGCGTTCGGAATCCGGGAGGGGTACTGCGGCGGCGGTGAGCGGTGTCGAACCCGGGAGGGATGCTATGGTGGCGAAGAACGGTGTCGGGTCCGGGAGGGATGCTTTGGTGCCGAGGAGCGGTGTCGGGCCCGGGAGGCATACTGTAGCGGCGAAGAGCGGTGTCGAGCCCAGGAGGGATGGGCCAAAGACCTCTACCGAAGACGGGAGGGATCCCAGAGTGCAGACAGATTCGGAGGAGAGGAGATATCCTGGGGCGAAGAGAGATACCGAGGCCTGGAGGGAACCCGAGGTGAAATGCGATACCGAAGCCGGGAGGGATCCCGGGGTGAGATGCGATACCGAAGCCGGGAGGGATCTCGGGGTGAAATGCTATACCGAGGCCGGGAGGGATCCCGGGGAGGGGAACGATTCCGAAGCCGGGAGGAATCCCGGGCTGAAGCGAGATACCCAGGCCGGGAGGGATCCCGGGCTGAAGCGAGATACCCAGGCCGGGAGGGATCCCGGGCTGAAGCGAGATACCAAAGCCGGGAGGGAACCCGGGCTGAAACGAGGTACCAGCGCCGGGAGGGATCCCGGGCTGAAGCGAGATACCACAGCCGGGAGGGATCCCGGGGTGAAGAGAAATACCGAGGCAGAGATGGATCCTGGGTGGAAGAGAGATCGCGAATCGGGAGGAAGTCCCGAGCCGGGGAGAGATTCTGGGGCGAAAAGAGACATCGATTCGGGGACAGATTGCGGGGTGAGGAGCACTGTCGAGGCAGCGATGGACCCTGGGGCGAAGAGAGATTCGGTGGAGAAGATAGGTCCCCGTGGGTGGAAGAGGTGTACCGGGAGGGATCCCGAGTGGAGGACCGGTCCCAGGAGGAAGAGTGGATCCTTAAGGAGAATGGGCGGGGCGAAGACCGAGTGCTGGGCCGGGACAGGTCCGGGAGCTTGCGGAAGCTGAGTAGGGACCCCTTCCGAGGGGAGGAGCTGTCGGCCGAGAAGGGGCGTGGCGAGGAAGCCGAGTCGGCGGAGCTACCGCCCAGGAATCCCGGGAAAGCGTGGGAGATGGAGCCCGGGGAGGGGCAGGGGCGGGACACGGAGGGAAAGCGCAGCGCGCACTCCCCGAGTCGGAAACCGCGGAGTGGGCGCCGTGCGGAGAAGTTCCGGGAAGTGGTCGCCGAGCGGGGTCAGACCAAGCCGAAGAACAACCGGTCTTTGAGCAAGGTCGCAGAATGGAGAAGGGGGAGCTTCGAGGGAAAGAGGGAAGGTAGGGAAAGGAGCGAGAGCAGAGGCAAGAACAAGGATGGGAATAGGACAACGGATAACAAGAAGGGATTGCTCAAAGGACGAAACTGTAACCGAGACCGGCCGAAGAGCAATGACCTAAAACTGAGAGAGGTCGGAGCCAGGATCAAGATCAGGCGAAAGGAGCCGGACCGAAGGAGGCACCCGAGCATTAGTAGGGGCGGGGCCCGGAGCCAGAGCCGGGCGCAGACCAAGAGGAAGGAGGGGCTGGGGTCGCGGAGCAAGAGCAGGGGCGGGGTCAGGAGTAAGAATGGAGGCGTGGACCTGAGCAGGGGCGTGGCCAAGAGTAAGAGGAAGGTTACGGCCAGGTGCAAGACCTGAGACCCCGACAGGGGCGGGGCGAAGCGCTGGAGCCTGTGCAATCACTCAGAGCTGTCTGGACAGCCCTGGAGAGCTGCCTCACCTGCCACTATTGAACCGGGCGTTATCCAGGCTACATTGCGCTCTGCCAAGCCGTGTCCCCTGCCAGCCCTGTGAGATCGAAAGGAGAGAGACAGACAGACAGAGAGGTACAAGTCCTGCGGGCGCTGTGGAAGATGCTACTTTCTGTGAGCCGGAACTTTGCCCATGGACCTGCACAAGGTGAGGGGACAGTGCAGGAGAAAGGGGCCCGAGTGGGGGGGGAGGGGGCTGCACCACCACACGGCATGGGTCTGGACATCTGGCCCACCTCTCCTAGAAAAATACCTGGGCTTCCCTGAAGGTCAACTGCTCCTGTGAGGGAGAGGCTGAGTGGGTGCAGTAGGGAGCGGGCCGACCCAGCCTCAGTTTCCCCATCTCTAACATTATTTGTGTGTGTGTGTGTGTCAGTCGTGGGGCCTGTACTATGGGCCTGGGCACTGTCCCTCAGCTCTTCAGCCCAAGGCTAGCGCTCTACCACTTGAGCCACAGCCCCACTTCCGGCCTTTTCTGCTTATGTGGTGCTGAGGAATCGAACCCAGGGCCTCATGCATGCAAGGCAAGCGCTCTACCACTCTTCCTAGCACAACTCTTAACATTTTGATAGAGCTAGTATCAAAGTGATAAACCTGCAGGATTGAAGATTATCTATGTACAGGTCCCAGTGCCCCACCAAGGATAGAAAAGGAGCCCCAAGTGAGCTGCTTTCACTTAATTTTTACTGAAATATAGCTCACAAATATAGTTCACAAAAAGTATACAGTGCTGGGGAAGGAACCTAAAGCTTTGAAGTGTTAGGCATGTGCTCTGCTTGAGCTACATTCTAGCCCCAAACTCAGTATTTAAAAGTGTACTTCCCTGTTTGTGTCTTTTTTTTTTTTTTTTTTGGTCAGTACTGAATCTTGAACTCAGGGTCTGGGCATTGTCCTTAGCTTTTTTTTTTTTTTTTTTTTTTGCTCAAGGCTGATCTGCCATTTGAGCCACAGCTCTGCTTTTGGATTTTTGGTGATTCCTTGGAGATAAGTGTCTCACAGATTTTCTGTCCCAGGCTGGCTTTGAACCAAATCTCAGCCTCCTTAGCAACTAGGATTATAGACATGAGCACTGGTGCTCAGCTTTCTTTCATACTTTTTAGTATATTTATGAAGTTGTGCAACCATCATCACTGTTATTCCAGAACTCTTTGATTATCCCAGAAGAAGTCCTGTGCCCCTTAGTACTTCATTCTCCACTCTCCCAAAGCCCTGGAAATCATTACTCTTCTATCTTCCACTATGAATTTGCCTAGCCTGACTTTTTCACATATGTGCAATCTGACAATATGCTGATTTGTGTTTGGCTGTTTTTGCTTGATATTAAGGCTTGTTCATATTGTAGCATGCATTGTCCTTTTTGTGGCTGCATTTAATTCTCCTGCATGAATGTGTCACTTCTTCATCTGCTCATTATTTGATGAATATTTGGCTTATTTCCCCTGTTCCACCATTATGAAGAATGCTGCTATGGGCCTTTGTGTACAAGCTTTTGTGCCATGGTGTCTTTTCAGTTGTCTTTGGTGTATAGCTAGAAGTGGGATTGCTAAGTCATATGCTAACCTGCTTTAAGGAAGTTCCAGTTTTCCAAAGCAGTTTTGTTATGTTTCCATTCCCATCAGCAATGTGTGAGAGTCTCAGTTTCTCTATATTCTCGCCAACACTAGTTAGTATCCATGCTGGTGTGTGTAAAGTGATACTGTGGTGTTTTTGTTTTTGTTTTGGTCAGTCATGGGGCTTGAACTCTGGGCTTGGGTGCTATCCCTGAGCTCTTCAGCTCAAGGCTAGCGCTCTACCACTTGAGCCACAGCGCTACTTCCAGATTTTTCTGCTTATATGGTGCCTCATAAATGCAAGGCAAGCACTCTACCCTTCTGAGCCCTTATTTTTTATTTATTTACATTTTGGTAGGTTATGGGACTTGAACTGGGGACCTAGGCACTGTCCCTGAGCTCTTTTCCTCAAGGGTAGCACTTCCACAGCTTCATTTTCGGTTTTCTGGTGGTTAATTGGAGATAAGAGTCTCATGGACTTTCCTGCCCCAGCTGGCTTTGAACTGTGATCCTCAGATCTCAGCCTCCTGAGTAGCTAGGATGACAGGCGTGAGCCACCGGCGCCCGGCTTATTTCAGCTCTCTTGTTAGACATGTGCTCTACCACTTGAGCCAAGCTCCACCTGGTGTTTCAGTTCTCTTGTAATAAACTTCTTATTTAAAATTTGCTTTATGCTCTGAAATATGATGTATTTTGGAGAAATTTCCATGGATTGATAAGAACATATGTTGTGTGGCTGTTGGGTGAAATAGTCTATAGATGTCTGTTAAATCCATGGGATGTATGTTTATTCATTTTAATTATTATAATTACTTCTGCAAGGAAGAGAGTTCATTGTACATTTCCACACATGGATACAATATATCTCAGTCAACCTCACTATTTCTCTCTCTTTCCTCCTTCTTCCCTTATTTTGGAAGCACTAGGCTTTAAATTCTGGGTCTTGGGCTGGGAAGGTGGCTGGTGGTAGAGGCCTTGCCTTGTATACATGAGGCCCTGGGTTCGATTCCTCAGCACCACATAAGCAGAAAAAGCCGTAAGTGACACTGTGGCTCAAGTTGTAGAGCAGTTGCCTTGAGCTGAAGAGCTGAGGGACAGCGCCCAGGCCCAGAGTTCAGGCCCCACAACTAAAAAAAAAAAAAAAAGCTGGGCATCAAAGCCAGCCTGGCAGGAAAGGCTGTGAAACTAATCTCCAATAAACCACCAGAAAATCGGAAGTGGTGCTGTGGCTCAAGTGGTAGAACACTAGTCTTGAGCTGAAGAGTTGAGGGACAGTGCTCAGCCCCAGAGTTCAAGCCCTATGACTGACAAAATAATAATAAATACATAAATAAATTCTAGGTCTTAGGCTTGTTAGGCAGGCTCTCCCACTTTTTTTTTTTTTAGTGTGTTGGCCCTTGGACTTGAACTCAGGAAATGAGCAGTGTCCCTGAGGTTTTTTGCTCAAGTCTAACACTCTTCCACTAGAGTCACAACTTCACTTCCAGCTTTTTTTTGCTGGTTAATTGGAGACAAGAGTCATATGAACTTTTCTGCCAAGGCTGACTTCAAACCATGATCCTCAGATCTCAACCACCTGAATAGCTAGAATTATAGTATGAGCCACCAGTGCCTGGCTTCCTTCCCCACTTTTAAAAATAAGTGTCAATAGGTTTTATTGTTCTGTTTTCATATATACAATCAAGCCACAGTGGCAATGAGAGAGTACTCTGGTGCCCCTCTCTTTCTCTCTCTCTCTTTTCCTTAAATGGTGTTAGGGATGGTTCTCATAGCCTTACACCCCCAGCTACTTCCTTTACAGTGCAGATGAGAAAGAGAGAGAGATGCTAACAGACAGACATGCTATATCACACCTAGCTGTGTGGCTTTGGACAGATGGCTTGCCTTCATTGACCATATTTTCTTAATCTTCACAGTGTAACAGAATGAAGATACTGGTTTCCACTTTCCCTTTCTTTGTGATGATATGAAGATTGAAGAAGTTGGTATATGTAAGGGTCTTGGTGCTAGGGTCACGGTGAGTTATAGATTATTATTATGATGATTTGCCCTATTATTAAACTTTTTTTTTGTGCCAGTCCTGGGACTTGAACTCAGCACCTGAATGCTGTCCCTCAGCTTCTTTGCTCAAGGCTAGTGCTCTACCACTTGAGGTACAGCTCTACTTCCTGCCATTGTTGGTGTTTAATTGGAGCTAAAAATCTCAAGGAGATCCCTTCCTGGGCTGGCTTCCAACCATGATCTTTAGATCACAGCCTCCTGGGTAGCTAGGTGTGAACCACCATCACTTGGTTGTTAGACTTTATTTGCAGGTAGAGATTCCTCTTGTATTTAAAAGTGGCTTTATGAACTTAGGTCTCACCTTATCTACCAGTTTGTGTTACTCAAAAAAATGGGGGCAGCCTCTTAGTCCTAAGACAGCCCTGAGATATGCTTTTTTTTTTTTTTTTTTGGTCAGTTGTGGGGCTTGAACTCTGGGCCTGGGCGCTGTCCCTCAGCTCTTCAGCTCAAGGCTAGCACTCTACCACTTGAGCCACAGCACCACTTCCGGTTTTCTGTTTTTTGTTTTTGTTTTTGCCAGTCCTGGGGCTTGAACTCAGGGCCTGGGCACTGTCTCTGAGCTTCTTTTGCTCAAGCCTCATTCTCGACCACTTGAGCCACAGTACTACTTCCAGCCTTTTCTGTTTATATGGTACTGAGGAATCAAACCCAGGGCTTGATGCATGCTAGGTAAGCACTGAACCACTGAGCCACATCCCCAGCCCCTCTGGTGCTTTATTGGAGATAAGAGTCTCATGGACTTTCCTGCCTGGGCTGGCTTTGAACCGCAATCCTCAGCTCTCAGCCTCCGAGTAGCTAGGATTACAGGTGTGAGCCACCTGCACCCAGCTGAGGTGTGCATTTTAAAGGACAGATAAGGGGCTGGGAATGTGGCTTAGTGGTAGAGTGCTTGCCTCACATGCATGAAGCCCTGGGTTCAATTCCTCAGTACCACATACACAGAAAAAGCTGGAAGTGGTGCTGTGACTCAAGTGGTAGAGTGCTAGCCTTGAGCAAAAGCAGCTCAGGGACAGTGCCCAGGCCCTGAGTCAAGCCCAGGACTGGCAAAAAAAAAAAAAAGGCCAGATAAGGGTGGGACTGACAATTAGGGGGTCTTGGAGGTTGGGAGGCGATATAGGTCTCAGGGGTCCACCTGATCCCATGCTCACCTTTCCTTTTGGCAGCTACATGCTGACCTTCACTGTTGGTGGACCCACAGCTGTGAGGAATGGGCAACCTGTCCATCTGCTACAACAGCCCCAGCACAAGTAAGCCCTGTAGCCTGCCCAGATTCTGCCTTCCTTTCCACACAGGCTGCACCCATGTCTCCCCTGCCAGGCTGGCCCTATCTTGCTACAAGCCCTATTATATGCTCTGCTCAGGCGGAGATTAAATGGCTGTACATGGCCTCATCTGAATTCAAAGACTGAAAAGCCATGACATTCACATCATGTCCCATGCATCAAAGGCGTGTGCAAGCCTCTGCCCCCAATTTTTTTTTTTTTTTTTTTGGTCGGTCATGGGGCTTGAACTCTGGGCCTGGGCACTGCCCCTGAGCTCTTCAGCTCAAGGCAAGCACTTTACCATTTGAGCCGCAGCACCACTTCTGGTTTTCTGGTGGTTAATTGGAGATGAGTCTCATGGATTTTCCTGCCTGGGCTGGCTTTGAACCAGGTTCCTCAAATCTCAGCCTCCTGAGTAGGATTACAGACGTGAGCCACCAGTGCCCAGCTCCCTAATTGTTTTGAGACTGAGTCTCTCTATGCAGCCCAGACCAACCTAGAATTCTTAACTCTCCTGCCTCAACCTCTAGAATGCTGGGACTACAGGTATGTATCACCATTCCTGGATTTGTGCAAGTACCCTGAATGTGCATCTGTCCATCAGGCATTCCCATCCTTCATACTTCTGGGAGGCTTCTAGATCTCCCATTCATGCTGACTACTTTTATGTTTCTCAAAGAGGACCTGAGCTTGTCACAACAGGACCCTCTGTTTGTGATGGAATTCTCTCCTTTTCTACTTCAAGCCATAATTCAGATAACTCTTTATCCTCCAATGCTTTTTTTTTTTTTTTTAACCTGTTCAGGACATAAGAGTGCTGTCCTGAACCCTCTTCTAGAACCTCTCATCCCTTCCATGACCCTCCCTGACAACTCTTGAAGTTTCTTGTCTCCTGTTTTTTTTTTTGTTGTTGTTTTTTTGCCAATCCTGGGACTTGAACTCAGGGTCTAGGCACCGTCCCTGATCATCTTTTTGTTCAAGGCTAGCTCTCCACCACTTGAGCCACAACACCACTTCCCGCTTTTTCTGTTGATGTGGTCTTGAGGAATGGAACCCAGGGCTTCATGCATGCTAGGCAAGCACTCCACCTCTCCTCTGTTTTTTGTTTTTGTTTTTTGTCAGTCGTGGGATCTGAACTCTTGGCCTGAGTGCTGTCCCTCAGCTCTTCAGCTCAAGGCTAGTGCTCTACCATTTGAGCCACAGTGCCACTTCCGGCTTTTTCTGCTTATGTGGTGCTGAGGAATCAAACCCAGGGTCTCATGCATGCAAGGCAAGCACTGTACACGAGCCACCTTCCCAGCCCCTCTCCTCTGTTCTTTACAGGACCCGACTCAACATAGTCTCTTCTGAATGAAAAAGTGATCACTTGCGTATAGTACCTTATGGTAGGTATTGATTGGCAGCTAAACAGAGGTGGTGGTGGCTGGATAAAGGATGGAGGAACAAGTTAGCACAGAGGGGCCCAATAACTGCTTCTTGCTCAGTGCTAGGAAGAAAATGATTTCCATGGGTAAATGAAGACAGTGGGTAAATGAAACAAGTAACCAACTGCCCCTAGTCAGTGATCAGCCTGTGTTTATTGAATAGGGGAGGCAGAAAGAGAGAAGACCTTAGGCTTTGTGTTTTAAGTGTTCCAACTTTGCTTGTTGGACAGAGGCATGAAACAGTGGATGAGAGGAGACAGTTTTTGTCTTCTCTCACAAGAACATTTGCCTATAATGTGCAAGGCCCTCGTCTGGATCCCTAGTGGAGAGGGAGAAGGAGGGAGAGGGAGAGAGAGAAAGAAGGGGAAAGAAAGAGGGGGAGAGAGGGAGAAAGATTAGAGAAAGCAGAGGTAGCACCTAGCAGTGCTCTCCCAGTGTGGGGCAGAGGAGGGAGTGGCAGTGGCACACGCTAAGAAGGGTGGTCGTACAGGTGCCTGACTTTGCTCTCCCAGGAGGCTATGTCTGGAGAACTCCTCAATGCAGAGATGGCAACTTCTCCCCTGAGTTTTTCTGCAAGATGATGAGCAGAAGATGAGCCAGTTACAAAGGCATGTTGACTGTGACTCCTGTGGTACTTGACTTCTCCCCCAATCCCGAGCCCATCCCTGCTCATCTTCCATGGTGAGCTGCACCTTCATGAGTTCCCACTCCATGGCAATTGGGCCCTGTTCTTCATCCCTGTGTGTGAAAGTCCAGGAGCTACACCACAGGGTGTGCAGGACTGTCTTGTCTACCCATCCCTACTGTCTGCTGCCTGCAGGTGACGGCCAGCTGTTTTGTGGGCCTAGTGATCCTTTCTACCCTCTTCTGCTGGACACTACACAATGCCACTCTCGTGAAGTCTTCCGCGGGTCTTCTCAGACAAGTTCCAGATAGAGCTCCAAGCAACTCTTCAGGACAAGGATGAACCTAAACATACTTGGGCAAACAATCACTGGCCCCTATCTCTAGCCTGCTCCAACTCCCATGTACCCTCGGGCCTCTCCTGTTAGACCTTTTATGGAAACACTGCTTGCCTTCCACACAGGCCTCTCTGTTTTGCTTGAATGTTTACTACCTATTCAGATCCAAATAAACCCTCATTTCAGTACCAGCAAGGAGCCCTCCCTCAGGTTCACTTGGAATGTGCTATCCCAGCTGCACAGGTCATTAAAATATGAAAGCCTTTCTTTACTATGGCCAATGCTTCTTTGTCTGCACATCAGTCACATCCCCAGATCGAATGTTGAAGAACTAGACACTAAAGGTGGAAGGTATTGAGAGACTAAAGAATGCTATACATGGATCCAGGACTTAGTACTTGTACTTAGCATACAATTCCTTGGGGTCTTAGGGACAGAACTGGGTTGAAGGTTGGCAGCAAGACCAGTAGATTCCTGCCCTTGGGTCAGAGGGAAGGAACTTCTGTAATGAGCAAAACAAAAGAGTCATCTAGGCCCATATGCCTTGTCTCTCAACATCAAAGCTTTCAGGTGCCGAGCGCTGGTGTCTCACACCTGTCACCCTAGCTACTCAGGAGGGTAAGATCTGAGGATGATAGTTCAGAGCCATCCCAGGCAGGGAAATCTGAGACTCTTACCAAAAGAAGCTGGAAGTTGAACTGTGGCTCAAATGATAGAGTGCTAGCCTTGAGCAGAAAAGCTCAGGGGCAGCACCCAGTCCAAGTTTAAGCCCCATAGCACACAGACAAAATACCTTGGTTTTACATGCCTTTTAAGGCATATAGGGCTCTAGCCTTTAACTCACAGTAGTAGTGATGATGAAAATGGGACATGAGCATAAAAGAACTGTCTTGGTCAAGCAGCAGAGGAAAGGGATGGTGAAAGGCAAGGGTAGGAAGTGGGAAGGCAAAGTGGCCACCAAATGTACTATATGTATTTTGTATGCATATAAAATATGAAACTTAAAAAGGATGTGTGTGTATATATTTTTCCTTAGTCGTGGAGCTTGAACTGGGTGCCTGCACACTTTCCCTGAGGTCTTGCCCAAGGCTAGTGCTCTAACACTTTGAGCCACAGCACCACTTCCAATTTTAAGGTGGTTTATTGGAGATAAGCATCTCAGGGCCTTTCTTACCCAAGCTGGCTTTGAACCATGATCCTCAGATCTCGGCCTTTTGAGTGGCTAGGATTAGACGTGACCACCATCACCTAGCCTCTGTTGTTTTGCATTACTTCTACAGATAAGTATGTTGAACATTTTTTTTTTTTTTTTTGGTCAGTCATAAGCCTTGAACTCTGGGCCTGAGCGCTGTCCCTCAGCTCTTCAGCTCAAGGCAAGCGCTCTACCACTTGAGTTACAGTGCCACTTCTGGTTTTCTGGTGGTTTATTAGAGATAAGAGTTTCACGGACCTTCCTGCCTGGGCTGGCTTTGAACAGGGATCATCAGATCACAGCGTCCTGAGTAGCTAGGATTACAGGCATGAGCCACCAGCATCTGGCTGTTGAACATTTCTTCCTGTATCTTTTTTTCCCCCTTTTTGTGGGCTGTGGTGCTTGAACTCTGGTCCTGAGTACTGTCCTTGAGCTTCTTTGGTTCAAGGCTAACACTCTACCACTTGAGTGCCATTTCTGGCTTTTTTTGCTTATGTGATGCTGCAGAATCCAACCCAGGGCCTCATGCATGTGAGGCAAGCACTCTACCACTGAGCCACCTTCCCAGCCCAAGTCCATGAGATTCTTATCTCTAAAAACACCTACCCCCCCCAATAAAAAAAATCCTGAAGTGGAGCTGTGGCTTAAGTGGCAGAGCTCTAGCCTTGAGTATAAACAGCACCCAGGCCCTGAGTTCAAGCCCAAGGACTTGTATGTGTGCGTGTGTAACACACGAAAGATCATCTCATAGGATGTCCCAAGTGGGGATTCAGGAGCATAGTAAATTACATGCTAGCCAGAGCTGATGGTTCATGCCTGTAATCCTCACTACTTTCAAGACTGAGATCTGAGGATTGCAGTTTGAAGCTAGCCTAGGTATGAAAGTCTGTGAGACTTATCTCCAATAAGCTACTCAGAAAAAGCCAGAAGTAGCAGAGTGGCTCAAGTGATAAAGCTCTAGCCTTGAATACAAAGAGGCTTAGAGACAGTGCCCAGGCATTGAATTCAAGTCCCAGGCCCAGCAAATAAACTATTGTTCTCTCAATTTAGGGCTCCAGAAAAATGGTATTCATATGGAGTTTTGAATTTATCTTTTTTTTTTTTTTTGGCTTCTGATATATTTTTTTTTTATTGTAAAGATACTATACAGAGGGTTACAGTTACATGAGTGAGGTAATGAGTACACTTCCTCTTGAACATTGTTACCCCCTCCATTGTTTTCCCCCTACCATCCCCTCCCTCCCTCCCTTCCCCAGGTTCTTTTTTTTTTTTTGATTGTGATTAAGTGATTACATAATTTCAAAGTCACAAGTTCATTCTAACTTTCCTGGAGCAAATTGTCTATCACAATCTGTAATATATAACAGTGTTCTGAACTTATCTTTTATAAAATAGAACCAATGGAAGAATAATGTCAAACTTTAGACTCCAGTTTATAGGCACGTTTTCTCCATTTTCTAAATTATATTGGAGTTTTTTTTTTTCAGTTGTGGGACCTGAGCTCTGGGCTGGGTGCTGTCCCTCAGCTCTTCAGCTGAAGGCTAACGCTCTACCACTTGAGCCACAGCACCACTTCCGGCTTTTTCTGCTTATGTGGTGCTAAGGAATCGAACCCAGGGCCTCATGCATGCAAGGCAAGTACTCTACCACTTCCGAGTCCCATATATTGGAATATTTCTAATTCTGTATTGCACAAGATTAGCTTCCTTTTTCTTCGTCTCTGTGAAAAATTCCAATTTTTTTTTTGGGGGGGGGTCCAGTCATGGGGCCTGAACTGTGGGCCTGGGCGCTGTCCCTCAGCTCTTCAGCTCAAGGCTAGCACTCTACCACTTGAGCTACAGTGCCACTTCCGGCTTTTTTCTTTTTGCTTATGTGTTGCTAAGGAATTGAACCAAGGGCCTCATGCATGGAAGGTAAGCGCTCTACCACTGAGCCACCTTCCCAGCCCCTCCAATTCTTTAATATGCATCTTCCATGTCAGAGATCATTCTAAAGTTAAAAATGAAAGAAATGCCTTCTGGAGATTATTTTTTGTCAGTTGTGGGGCTTGAACTTGGGGCACTGTCCCTGATCTCTTTTGATCAAAGCTAGCACTCTACCATTCTATCACTTTGTACCACATCTCCACTTCCAGTCTCCCTTGCTCTCCCTCCACTGTGGGGCTGGATGCTGTCCCTGAGCTCAAGCCACACAACTGACAAAAAAAAAAAGTCTCACAGGGACTTTTCTGTCCAGGCTGCTTTGAACCACAATCCTTACAATCCTTACATCTCAGCCTCCTGAGTAGCTAGGATTACAGATGTGAACCACCAGCGACAGCCAGAGATTTTTTGTTGCTGTTGGTTGTGGGGCTTGAACTCTGGGCCTGGGCATTGTCTCTGAGCTCTGCAACTCAAGGCTAGCCCTCTACCACTTTGAGCCACAATGCCACTTCCGGTTTTCTGATGGTTAATTGGAGATAAGAGTCCCATGGACTTTCCTGCTTGGGTTGGCTTTGAACCATGATCTTCAGATCTCAGCCTCCCCAGTAGCTAGGATTACAGATGTGAGCCACCAGCGCCTGGTGCCAGCTAGAGATTCTTTTTTTTTTTTTTTTGTCAGTCATGGGGCTTGAACTCTGGGCCTGGGCGCCCTCCCTCAGCATTTCAGCTCAAGGCGAGCACTCTACCGCTTGAGCCACAGCACCACTTCCAGTCTTCTAGTGGTTTATTGGAGATAGGAGTCTCACGGACTTTCCTGCCCGGGCTGGCTTTGAACTGTGATCCTCAGATCTCAGCCTCCTGAATAGCTAGGATTACAGGCATGAGCCACTGGCGTCCCCAGCTCGAGATTCTTAAATCTTTCTGTTTTAACATATAGAAAGGTTCTTTTCTCCATGATAATCTTAGTTGTTTATCTCAACATTGCTACTGTCAATCCTTAGCTGTTTATTTCAGCATTCAGTTCCTAGCTAAAATGGATTGCCAAATGGTCTCAGAAATAGACCTTGAGAATCTCCATTCTGGACAATAGTGAAATTATGATCAGCAGTTCTGCTTCAGGGTCCATTTCTTTCTGAATTAGCTGGTCATAAGACCAACACACAACCCACAATTTGTCAGGTGGCAAAGAGAAACCTTTCCAATTTCAGTCACCAATAACCTGTACAGTTGGGGTGGTAGCAACAAATTGATCATGTGCCTTCTCCTTGGTCCTGAAATGAGACTTTTATTTGGAGTCTAAATAGTGAATATTCAAGCAAAACAGAAAGGCCTGCCTGGGAGACAGCTGTATCAAAGAGGGGGTGGGGGGGGGGCGGGCTGAAAGTAGATGAGGGTTGGGGCAGACCAGAGACTCAAGTCTATGACTTCATCCCAGAGGTTGGCTCAGGTTCCTCCTTTTCCTGGAACACTTTGGAGGGGGCCCTGTAGCTCTCCGGGAAGCTCATCTGGGAGGCCATGCTGAACATGGCCGTGGAGGTGGCATAGGTATAGTAGGACTCTGAGGTCATTACATTGTTGATCTTCCAGCGCAGTGAGTTCCAGGCAATCACCATGTAGGGCCACAGGAGGGAGAAGGCGAGGTGCAAGATCACCAGGCCCATAAAACTGCTGACCGACACCTATAGACACCAAACAGTAGGGCTGGGTGCTCAGCCTGGGGGGACCCCCCTTACCATGCACAGCTTGGTATGTCCTGGACTTCACTCACCATGACGATGAAGAGGGCCCGCTTGTTGCTGAGTGGGAGCCCGTGGATGTGTAGCCAGAAGGTGAGCTGGTAGTCACAGTATGTGCTCGAGTCTACATCTCTGGTAGGACATGGGGGTCCCAGGAATGGGAGAGAAGTCAGGTCCCACAGAGGACACCATCAACTCCTTCCCAGCCCACATGCTGAGCTTACCTGTTGCTCACCAACACCTTGAAGTAGAATTCAGGGGGAAAGATGCTTGAGGGAATGATGTCATGACATGGGGAGTTCTGTAGACACAGCCACCTGGGAGAACAAGATCAGGCACCTGTGCCAGCCCCCTCCTGACTGTATACCACCCCACCCCCACCACTCCCACTCCCTCCTGAGCCCTGCTCAGTGCTGACTCCATCTTCTCCAGTCTCATGCATTGCAGGCAAGTGCATCACTGCTGAGCCACGTGCCCAATTCATGGTCTCTGTCTTCTCTCATCCACTGCTTCATGCCTGTGTCCAACAGGCAGAGCTGGAACATTTGGCCAGGTCCTCCATCTTCTTCCTCTCTTGGTTCATGACTCAGTAAACACAGGCTGAGTACTGAGCAGTTGGTTCCTTGCTTCATTTGCCCACTGCCTTCTCCTTACTCATGGAAATGAGCTATTGAGCCCCCTCTATGCTAATGAATTCCTCCAAACTTTTATCCATTTGCTAACTCCTTTGTTTAGCTGCCAATCAATGCCTACCATAAGTTACTATATACAAGTGTTGATTCTTTGATTGAGAAAAGACCGTGATGAGTCCATTCAAGATCTGGTCCTGTAAGGCAGGCAGATCCCATGGGAGACATGGGCAGCGCTCATCTCCAGGACCCGGATGCAGGTGGGATGTGCAGAGGGCGAGAGGATGTGTGTCAAAGGGAAAGGCTCACCAGATGGGTTGTGGAGGTTTAGGCAGAGGATGGGAAGGGGAGGCTCAGATGGAAGGTTCAGGACAGGAGGGACATGTGGAAATCAAGCAGAGGCAACTGTTGGGTCCTAAAACATTTAGATATACCATCAATCATATAGGGACACCAGAAGTTGGTCTCCAGAAGGACAGGAGGGTCCAGCATTCCAGGTGAAGTGGACTGATATGCAAAGCTTAGTCCTCTCTGCGAACATGAAGGTAATCAGCTCTGTTGGCAAGATCTAGAAGCTTTTCAGAGGCAGGAAGGATGGCAAGACTGATGGGTATGGGGTATTGTCAAGAGGCCTTGCCCAAAGCCAGGCATGGTGTGGTGCATGTCTGTCATCCCAGCACTAAGGAAGCAGAGGCAAAAGGATGGCAAGTTGGAGACCAGCATCATCTACATAATGAGTTCCAGACCCTGGGTCAAAAGAAAAGGGAAAAAGGTGGGAGGGGCCTATGACTCACTCGATGCCCAAGCTCTTGTGGGACAAGATGTGGAAGGCCATGTCTTCTGTGGTCCTTTCAGTCCTTGTGTTCCAAATGAGGCTGTCAGTCCTGGGCAGAACCATATAATCTCAGCCTGGGCAGAGCTCCCCAGGAGCTGCCAGTCCCAAAGCCTAGCCCAATGGGTGAGGTCAGGGCATTGGTGCACAGGGCTGAGGTACTAATGGGGCAGGTGGTATCCTGGGGTTTCCATGTGGGTGGGATCTGAGGTTCCCAGGAGGTTCAATCTGGAACAGCCTGTGTGACTGGGACGTGGGTGGAGGCCGGCATGAGAACTGGGGTATCAGGGGAAAATGGGCTCAGTCTGCATGGGGCTCACTTGTCCAGGGGACTGTTGTAGCGGTAGATTTCCTCATCGCTGTAGTCCCTGACGTTGTCCATTGAGGACCCGCCACCCACAACCTTCATCACGTAGCTGCCAGAGGCACAAATGCAGAGCCCCAAGTCCTACATCGCTCTCCCAGTCCTTCAGCCTTCCCATACTCCATGTCCTCCGGCTAGCCTTGACTTTACCTGCCATTGAAACTGCCCGAGTCTCCCGTCACCAAATCTTGAATCAGGAAGAAGGGGTAGAACACTGGAGTTGGAGGAGGTTCAGAAGAGGAGAAAAGGAATGAACTTGGTCTGGGAAGCTGAGGGAGGAGATGGGGGCTGGGGAAGGGGAGCAGGTGGAGGAGGTTAGAGCAAGGGATGGGGGAATGTGGGGAAGGGAGCCAGGAAGGAGAGATGTGGCAGAGGGTGAGGTAGGGGAAGGATGGGGTACTCACTGTCACGGAAGAGAAAGCAGGGCATCTCAGGGTCACTGAACACACAGTCAAAGTAGTGTTTGTTCTGCTGGCGGTTGTATTCCAGAGTATAGGTGATATCAAAGGCTAAGCGCTTGCCTGGGGGGCAGCCAATAAATACTGGCACCATCAGGTCGCCCTGAGCAGGAGAAAAGTCTTGTGCTTGGGGGGGTTCTTGTTGTGAAAAGGGTTTATTTATTTATTATTGTGGGCGGGAAGGGTTGTGGGGCTTGAACTCTGGGTCTGGGTGCTGTCCCTTAACTTGTTCAAGGCTAGCACTCTACCACTTGAGCTACATGTCCTCTTTTGGCTTTTGGGTAATTAATAGAAGATAAGAGTCTCGTGGACTTTTCTACCCAGGCTGACTTTGAACCTCCACTCTCAGATCTCAGTGTCCTGAATAGCTAGGATTGTAGGCGTGTACCTGGCTTTGTTCTTTGCTACTTTAACTCAAAATAGAATCAAAGGAGCTGGGGGGGAGGGTTGGGAGAGTAGGGGGAGGACTACTACAATTGCCTTTTATACCTGGGTCACTCCAAGTCAGGAAGGGGGAGCCCTAGGGTCTGTGTGTTGGCAAGGCTCAGGAAAATGGGAGAGAATGGGGACTCTGTGGCAGCTCCTTCCTCTACCACTTTGAGCTCCTGGTGCTCCCCTGAGCAGACATCTGTCCTTTTCTGAAACTCCCCATCTGTCCGTGTGCAAAGGAATCATTTTATGTGTAAGCAAGCGGTGGTGAAACAAGTGCTGCACCCTCCTCAGCCATGAGCACAGAACTCAAGGGGTGCAAATAAAAAGCATCATGAGGACTGGGAATGTGGCTTAGTGGTAGAGTGCTTGCCGAGCATGCACGAAGCCTGGGTTCTATTCCTTGGTACCGCATAAACAGAAAAAAGCTGGAAGTGGTGTTGTGGCTCAAGTGGTAGAGTGCTAGCCTTGAGCAAAAGCGGCTCAGGGACAGTGCCCAGGCCCTGAGTTCAAGCCCCAGGACCAGCCACCTTGATACATTCAGACATGACTGCAGAAAGCATCCCGGGGAGCACATAGTGTTCCGTACAACCCACACAGCTGTGAAGGAGGCCCTTCTGAAAATGGGCCTGGAGAGTCGTAGTGAGAAGGTGGGAAGTTACATGAATGAGATGGGAGGAAATTATGGATGACTTAGTGGAATTATCTGGGTGGTCTTGGCAATTGGGCCTGCTGACACCCTTCCTCTTTTCTTCCTTCTCCTCCTGTCCTCTCCCTCCCCCGCCCTTCCCAGCACTGCCACTCTCCCAGGCTCCAGTACTTGCATGATCAGCCCCTGGTTTGTGTTATGGAAGCAGTAACCGGAAGATCCCAACACCTGTGGGTGGGAACAGGTAAGTACAGTGGGCTCCAAGGGTCCATCCTCTCATCTCCTTCCTGTCCCGCCCCTCTAGACTGAAGATCACACACCTGGATCATCATGGAAGTTTTCATGAGGTGATGTCCACTAATGCCTTGATCATAGCAGTGCCTTCTGTCCATAAGTGTTATCTGAGGGGGGGGGGGGAGAAAAGGGCACAAAGGCCTCTCCAAATGCCAGCCTCCTCCATTTCTTCCTTCTCCTTGTCCCCCGCTTCCCCCCTCCTCCTCTTTTCCCTCCAGCAACCCATCACTCAGCTGCCCCTCCTGGAAGCTCACCAAGAATTGCACAGAGTTTCGATTAACCAGGACCTTCTGCTGCACCAGGGCCTGGATGCACAATGGATCTGCCACTACCACGCCCAACGCCAGCTTGCTCTGCACCTGAAAGGCCACATCTGCCACAAGCCAAGGGGGGGGGACATCACAACCCAGCCTAGACCTCAGCCTTACCCCGTTGTACGGGGGAGGGGGGGGTTGGGGTTGCTGGTGTTCGGCTCAGGCCCCGCCCACTGACCCAGGTCAGATGGCATTGAGAAGGAGTCTCCCTGCGCCGTGAGGAAGATGCTGAAGGTGTAGGTGGTGCCCTTGTCCAGGAAGATGCGCTCCGGCAGCTGATGATTTGGCCTGAGGTTATAAATCTTCTCGTAGCTCTCCATGTCAATGTGGACGCCGCCTGCACTGCGCCAGTTGCTTGCCATGTAGAAGTAATAATCCTGAAGAAGTAGTCATCCGCCATGAGGTGAAGGGGAAAGTCAGAGGGGTAGGAGGGTGTCCCTGGGTACTTCTTTTCCCCACCCCCATTCTCTCCACGAACCTCATCTTGCTTCTTGTTTTTCCACCAGCGCCAGGTGGGGTCATGCTCGGGATCTGCGTAAGGCTGCAAGGATTGTAGGGCTGACTCCCTTCCTGCAGTCCAGGATATCATCCCTGGCCCCAGGGACGGAGCCAGCTTGTAGGCACCCACCTTGTCATATTTGGAGTGCAGCCAGAGCAGGTAGTAGACCAGGCCTTGATAGACTGCCAGTGACTTCTCATTGTGGAAGCCCGAGGGATCCATGAAGGGGTGACCCAGAGGAGAGTCCCCCCTAACACTCCCAGTGGCTGCCCCCACAATGCAAAGGCAAAGATGCAGCTTTCCATCCAGCGGGTCACACCCCCAAAAGCTCTCCTCATGACCCTCCCACTCAGTCTTGTCCTGAAGGCAGGGTCTTTGAACTTCAGATTCTCATCACACGAGCTCCTCTGCGCAGGCCCAGCTTCTGGGCTGACTCCCTTCCTGCAGTCCAGGATATCATCCCTGGCCCCAGGGACGGAGCCAGCTTGTAGGCACCCACCTTGTCATATTTGGAGTGCAGCCAGAGCAGGTAGTAGACCAGGCCTTGATAGACTGCCAGTGACTTCTCATTGTGGAAGCCCGAGGGATCCATGACAAGCGGTGGCCGAGCTAGGTAGCGCTCCTCCCGCGTGTAGGCCTGTGGGTTGGGCACATCCTGCAAGCGCATCACCACGAAGGGACAGAAGTCGATGAAGGAGAGCTTCAGGTGGCCCCTGGGCAGTGGTAGTAGGGGATTTACATGTGGGAGGTGACTCTTTACATTCTTAGTATAGCAGTTCCCCCCCCCCCCCCCCCCCGCCTCCCCCGGCTCGGCATTAGTTTCCCACCTCTACACTGTCTGACTTCCCAAATCGAATTTACTTTTTCCACTCAGCATCTGGGTGCCTCTGAGGCCTCTGGACACATCCCCGGGGCTGTCCCCCTCCCTCAGACCACAGCTTCCTTGGCTCCACATCAGTACCCACTTGCTTGTTGTAGCTGACCTCTTCTTCCTCTCTTCTAGCCTCATGGCCCCATACCCCCTCCCTGCCACCGTATTACCCCCCCAGCACTTTCTGATCTACTCAGGCCTCTGCCTCTCCTCACCCCTGTCGCTGCAGTTGGTGTTCTGTCCGCTGGTACATCAGCAGCTTCTCCACAGGAATCAGCCGCTTTATTATGCGGCCCTTATTCTCAGTTTTAATGTATGCAATCTGTGGGGTGTAGGGAGCAGGGACAGCATGTGAGCAGGGGTAGGGGCAACTACTCTGGAGGATCACACCCCCCCCCCACCGTGTGTGTCATTAGCACCACCTGGTACCTGGTACAGCAGGCCCCGTTCGTAAAACAGGGTGATCATGGTTTCCTCAGGGGCAAAGAGTGAGGAGTGATGCATGTTTTGCAGGCTGACGTACATGTCCCAGCCCCTGGATGGGAGCAGCCTGTACACTGTGTAGCTGCCTTCGTGCAGGTACCAGACCTGAGGGGCCAGAAGAGACCAGGTGAGCTATACAGGGCCTGCAGAGACCTGTGATTCTGCCTCTGTTTAAATTTTATTTTTTTGGTGCTATTCCTGGAGGCTTTGAGCTGAGGGCTCTCCTTTGCCTGTTTTTGCTCAAGGTTGGCACTCTACCACTTGAGCCACACCCTTCATTTCAGGCTTTTCCCTGATTAATTGGAGGCATGAGTCTCTCAGATTTGTCTTCCCCAGCTGACTTCAAACCAAGAGATCCTCAGCTCTCAGCCTCCAGAGTAGCTAGGGTTACAGGCAGCATGGCCCCCAGCAACCAGCTAAAGCTTTATAAATACATACACCCCTGTTCCTAAAAGCCAGAGGTTCCTGGGATAAAGCTCAGGGGTCTTCCTACTCATTGTGGCCTCTAAGGGTCTCTCCATACCTGACCTCAGTTTCCCATCTATGTGCTAACAGACTCACCCCATCTCTGATCTTTTTTTTTTTTTTTTTTTGGTCAGTTATGGGACTTGAACTCAAGGCCTGGGTGCTATCCTTGAGATCTTTTGCCCCAGCACCACTTTCAGTTTTCTGGTAGTTCATTGAAGAGTCTCAGGGACTTTCCTGCCTGCCTGAGCTGGCTTTGAATCTGGATCCTCAGATCTCAGCCTCCTGAGTAGCTAGGATGACAGGTGTGAGCCATTAACCCCCAGCTCCCATTTCTGAGCTTAACCCTTCCTCCCCTTCCCACTTCCTGAGCCTTCAGGCTAAGTGATCTCCAGCTTCTAAGCCCTCCTGTCCATGAGGCACACCATGGCACACAATTCAGGCTGTCATTTCCTCCGTGACATCCTGGCCGCTTGCGGTAAGTGCACAGTAAGTGCACAAAATACTTGTGCAATGAACAACTGCACCATAGTATGTGGTCCCTGAACATTTCATCTTGTTTTTGCTGCAGATGTGATGTTGGATCAGGTTCCCTTCCTCTCTGGGTTCCCTCAGGTTTCCTCCCCTTTCTCCCTTATCTTGAAAGTGAAGGAAGGCTTGGGGCTGGGCAGAGGGAGTGGGGGGGAGGAACAGGACAGCTCACCTCCTCTGTGTCTGTGACCATCACCAGGTCCCCTTGGAATGAGTTGACCAGGAATTTGATGAATAACTCCTTGGGAAAATCCGCCAGGTAGATGAAGTTTTCATTATTGTAGCTGGGGGGCGGGGGTCAGGGGTAGCAGAGGTAAGGAGGCAGAGCACAGGCATGGCTAGGCTATCCAACTATCCCAGTCACTTGACTCAAGGCCTAATACAGCACAGGACCCACCCACTCTGGCCTTGTAGTAGCCACGGGAGTGAGTGGACAGGAAACCTAGGAGTCTAGCTTCTGCTCCCCTCTGAACCACATTGTCCCCAGACTCTCCCCTCCCCCCTGGGGTGGGACCAGTGAGAAGAACATCAGAGCATGTTCTGGGTGTGTGTGTATGTGCACACACATGTACCAGTCCTGGAGCTTGAACTTGGGACCTGGGTGCTGCCCCTTAGCTCTTTCCATTCAAAGCTGGTGCTCTACCACTTGAACCACACTTCCAAGTCTGGACTTTTTTTTTGCTGGTTCACTGGAGATAAGAGTCTCCCGGACTTTCCTGCCTGGGTTGGCTTTGAACCACAATCCTCAGATCTCAGCCTCCTGAGTAGCTAGGATTACAGACATGAGCAACCAATGTTCTTTTTGAGTGGTTTGGGGACCTAGCTTTGAGTTTAAACAAGGGCTCCCAAGGCTGAAGCTGTGGATCAGAGGCAGAGCACTTGTCTACCATGTGGGAGATGCTGAGTTTACCCCTAGAACCTCTAAGTGCTCTCTCTCTCATATTTAAAATGAGTAGAAGCTACAGTGTATCTATATCTATATATATTATACATACATACATACATCCTCATCATACATACATACATACATACATTTTCCACCTGGGTCCTGACCATGCCAGCCTACATCTCTCCATACAGTTCAGGTGACCTTGCAGTGTCCCCTGAGGCTTGGGGACTTTACAAAGGGGCTTCACCCTAAGGAGAAGAATCCTCCTGGGCTCCTGGGGTAGGTAGGGGGCCAGCATGGCCTACCTCTGCAGAAGGAAGTTCCCCCAGAGGAACAGCAGATTGTTGAAGGTGTTAAACAGCATGCCCCTGGGGATCATGGGCGTGTTGGTGTAGGCCTCTGACCCCAGCATCATGAGGAACTCCAAGCCCCTAGCTGATGGGAGCAGAGGAGGGAGAGGGAGAACAGAGCTCAGAGGTTTCCTGGACCTTTCCTGGCCCCTGCCCTCCCTGGAGGCCACCCTGCCTTCCCCACTTTACCATCAGGGACGAACTCTGGGAAGTTGTAGAGGACTTCTAGCTCATCCTTTACTGCAGGGGGAGAAACAGCAGGACCTCCTGAGGCCCTGAGCTATCCAAACCTGAAGCCAGTGCTCAGGAACCCTCTTTCTCCTCCAGTAGCTTCCCATCTGGGCCAGCATTTCCTGCAAGACATCCTGCCAATCTCAAGTCCATAGGGCTAGCAACCTGTCTCCTCTGATGCCCTGGCTATGGTTTTTTGTTTTGTTTTGTTTTTCTTTTTGGTCGGTCGTGGGGCTTGAACTCTGGGCCTGGGCACTGTCCCTCAGCTCTTCAGCTCAAGGTGAGTGCTCTACCACTTGAGCCACAGCGACACTTCTGGTTTTCTGGTGGTTTATTGGAGATAAGAGTCTCACAGACTTTCCTGCTTGGGCTGGCTTTGAACTGCAATCCTTGGATCTCAGTCTCCTGAGTAGCTAGGATTACAGGCGTAAGCCACCCAGCGCCTGGCAGGCCAGAAGTTTTGCAGTGTGCAACCTCACAACTAACTCAAACAAAGCAGGCCAAAGCCAATGGAATCTCCATCTTTTAAGTCCCTGAGGACTTTTTCTATCTCTAGCTTCTACTCAGCTCTCCAATCCCTACCCCTCTGTCTTTCTCCAGCCCACCAGATTTCTCCATGAAATCCAAGTTGTCCTCTAGGCTACCTGCACCTTTCCCACCACCCTCTGAGCCGCCCTGATTACGCATGTTATAGCTGGACATGGTGTAGTATTTCTTGTTGGAGTCCGGATCTGTGTTCTGCACCAACAGCCTTATGATGAACTCGGCAGATATCATGGCCGCCCAGATAATGGAGCACTTGGCAACTGAAAGGGGGGGAGCAGCCAGTGCTCAGTGCTCATGGCTCTCCCTGAAACCTCCCCCAGCCCCATTCCTGGCACAGCCATGCCCCTCCCAGGAATTCTCCACTCCTTTCTGAGACCCTGGTCCATCTCCCTTGCTCTCTCCCTGTCTGTCCCCGCCTTCTCCTCTCTGATACTGGGGTTTGACTCAGGGCCTTGTTTGCTCAACTGGTGCTCTACTACTTGAACCCGTTTTGTTTTTGTTTTTTCATTTTTTTTTTCCGAGTTATTTTGGAGGTGAGAGTTTTTCTCTGTTTTTCCTGCCTGTGCTGGTTTCAAAGCTTGATCCTCCAGATCTCATCCTCCTGAGTAGCTAACATTACGGGTGTGAGCCCCTCCCCTCCCCAAGCACACCTTGCCTAAGGTGTCTCTTTTCCATTCTTCCCACCCTTCCTGACTCTCGTTCAGCCCCCACCCTCTCACTCTAGCCCCTCCCCTCTCCCGGCTGAGGGCTGGTTACCATTTGTCTTTTCGCACACTGACCACTGCTTGGGATACATCTGGAAGAACACCTCACCATCTGGGGAGAAAGGCAGGATGCATGCTTAGGTCTCTCCTGGCCTACACTATCTGCCTGGTACCCTACCCAAGCCGTGTTCCTGGTTCATAGAAATTCACTGGGGTCCCCCACAACCTGAATATGGTTACAGGAATGGGTGCAGGCTTGGGCATGTAACCCAGTATGGATCAGAGCTGCTTCCATTTTCTTGGGAGTAAAAAAGTGGTGGGTTAGCCAGGTGCTGGTGGCTTACACCTGTCATCCCAGCTACTCAGGAGGCTGAGATCTGAGGATCCTGGTTCCATGCCAGCCTGGCCAAAGAACCTGAAAGACTCATCTCCAGTTAAGCAGCAGAAAACCAAAAGTGGTGGTTAAAGTGGTAGAGTGTTAGCCTTGAGCAAGAGCTCAGGGACAACACCCAGGCCCTAAGTTCAAAAAACAAAAACAAAAACACACTGATGGGTAACGTGATCCTGAATTCATAAACACACACACACACACAAACTTTTTTGTTGTTGTTGTTGGTCATGGGTCTTGAACTCTGGGCCTGGGTACTGTTCCTGAGCTCTTCAGCTCAAGGCAAGCACTCTATCACTTGAGCCACAGCACCATGTCCAGTTTTCTAGTGGTTAATTGGAGATAAGAGTCTCATGGACTTTCCTGCCCAGGCTGGCAAGCCACAATCCTCAGCTCTCAGCCTCCTCAGTAGCTAGGATGATAGGTGTGAGCCACTGGTGCCCAGCTTTATTTTATATTTTTGGGGGGGGATTGAACTCAAAGTCTGAGCACTGTCCCTGAGCTGCTTTTGCTCAAGTCTAACCCTCTACCACTTGAACCATAGCTCCATTTCTGCCCTTTTTTTTTTTTGTCAGTTGTAGGGCTTGAATTCCGGACCTGGGTGCTGTCCTTCAACTCTTCAGCTCAAGGCAAGCATTCTACCACTTGAGCCACAGCACACTTCCAGTTTTCTGGTGGTTTATTGGAGATAAGAGTCTCACAGACTTTCCTGCCTGGGCTGGCTTTGAACCTCGATCCTCAGATCTCAGCCTCCTGAGTAGCTAGGATTACAGGTGTGAGCCACTAGCACCTGGCCCATTTCTGCCTTTTGGGTGGTTCATTGGAGATGGGACTTTTTCCTGGGCTAGCTTCAAACAGTGATACTCAGATCGCAGCCTCCAGAGTAGCTAGGTATGTATCACCAGCACCCAGCTAAGCATGCTCTTAAGTTCACATGTTCTCTGCTTTACGTATCATAAGGACATAGTAGACCCTGCAAGATGCCTCATCATTATGAAGGCCTAACCCCTTCCCCTACAGAGCCAGGATGACCCTCACTGTTGGTCTTCTTCCTGTGGGCACATGGTAAAGAATGAGGGCCTCAGGAGTGGGACTGGAGGCCACTGCTGGGCTCCCAGGTGCCTATCCTTACCTCTGATAGTCATAACGTGAACATAACCCTCATGCTTGCCCATGGTCAGGGCAATAACGTACTCGGAGCCATTGCTGTCGAAATGCACTGGGCACAGCTTACTGATGCATTCGTTGGCCAGGACTCGAACCCAGCTGCCTAGGGCACACAAGCATGGGACCTTAGTCCAGGCAATCAGACTCATTTCATTCCTTTGAGCTAAGGCAGGCTGCTCTTTTCCTCTCAAAGTTCCTGCCAGTGCTATGAGCAGCCTTCCTTCCTCATCTTCTGCCCACCAGGTCCTGATTGAGCTGACTCCTCCCATGCTTTCCCTTGGCCAGAGCAATGGGTTGTGACCCAGGCATGTGACTGAGCTGTGTAAATCAGACACCTTTTGCAATTTAAAACTACTTAACAGATGCTCTTTCCTGTAGCAAGTGAGGGACAGCTGCTGGATAAGGAGAAATGTCACCAAGACATCCATAAGGGGGAGACTGTCCAACAGTGAAAGTGAACTTCTGGATCCAACTATGCCTGAAACCCACATACTCCTTGTCTTGTCATCCATGTAAGCAATAACAAAACCCCATCTATTTTATATTTTGTTCATTCATTCGTTCCAGGACCTCACTATGTATTCCAGGATTCCCTGAACTTGCAGTATCCTCCTGCCTCTGCCTCTCAGTTGCTAGACCACCAGGCCTGGCTACTCTTTTTCCATTTTGGTTAATCTCCTTTGGGCTTTTCCTCTTCAAGATTCTCTTTTACTCCCTCCCATCTATTCCTATCCCAGCCATTTCCCATAGCCTGCTCTTAGTTCCCAGGATGTTGTGGCCTGCAGAGAGGAGGGAAGGGTCCCCTGAAGACTTCCAGACAGTGGAGGCATGAGTCATGACTGGGGGAGGTCCTGCCCTAGCCTGCCCAGGGCAATTCCAATCAGTGGCTTCTGATGGGTAGATTCCCTTAGGTGCTCTTGTCCAAGGACCGCGTCCTCCCCGCCCCCCCACGCCATGGTATCCCAACCTGGCCCTCTTACTGCTTTTGTGTTTTTTATCCATGACTGTGTGATAGTTTCCTGTAAAATAGTAGACCAGCTGGTTCTGCCGTATGAACAGAGTGGTTTCAGTGGCGATAGCATCGTGGATGGTGGCCGAGAAGCCGGTCTGAGGGCAGTAGTGGGAGCCCACCCAGCAACTGTCAATGCTCAGCTGCAAGGAAGCAGGCAGGGCACTAGTGAGTGATGACTTTGACCACAGCCCCTAAGCTTTGCCTTGGGGTGGGTGGGGGGCGGGGGTGGTGATGGGCGGACAGGCTGCTCATCCTGTTCCCCTAGCAGCCTCATTACCACTGGTCAACAAACTTCCCCACCAGCAGGAGCCAAGGAAGCAGACCAGAAAGATCTGAGCCAGTTGGGGCCCTGTATGGCCGCCACATTTGAGCAGTGCAGAGTATGCATAACCTCGTTCAGCAGTCCCTGTGCCCATAGCTGCATTCAAGGTTGTTTAAATGTGAATACAAAACCTCTCATGCATGGCTGAAGGCATACTTTTATTTTATTTTTTGCTAGTCCTGGGGCTTGAACTCTGGGCTTGGGCTCTGTCCCTGAGCTGCTTTTGCTCAAGGCTAGCACTCTACCACTTGAGCCACAGCGCCACTTCTGGCTTTTTCTGCTTATATGGTACTGAGGAATCAAACCCAGGGCTTCATGCATGCTAGGCGAGCACTCTACCACTGAGCCACCTTCCCAACACGTCCTCAAATATTTCAAGAGTCCTCATGCCTATAAATCCTAGCTATTCAGGAGGCTGAGATCTGAGGGTCTTGGTTCAGAGGCAACCTGGATGGGAAAGTTTGTAAGACTCTTATTTCCAATTAACCAGAAAAAAGCCAGAAGTGGAGGTGTGATTGACCATAGGACCCTGCCCCAATCCAGACGCTTTATCCCCCCATTTACCTGCACCACTCACCTCTACGAGGGAGACATCCTCGAAGTTGGTGTCTGTTATCAGGATGATTTTCTCGTTGGGAATGCCACCCAGGATAAGCACGGGTGAGTGGCCCAGGGTGCACCTCAGAGGCCTCGACGAGACATTCTCAAAGTGCCAGGGCATCATGTAAAAGAGCTGCCAGCGAGGGGCAGGAGGCTGTTCAGCACCCCGCCATACCCCCACTCTACCTAAGTCAGGCAAAAACCCAAGTCTTCACCCTGTCCCCTATGACTCCCCCACCTCAACAATATGCTGTCATCTCCATGACTTCCTCTTGTTCTTCCCTACCTCAGGGCCTTTGCACTGGATCCTCTATCTCCTCCATCCATATGTAGGTCCCCTCTTCTCCTCTAGGTTCCATCCAACTGTTTCCTACTTCCCAAAGATCCGTCTTTCTGCACTGCACTGGCTCTGCATCCCCGTCCCCAGGCCCACTCCTTTCTAGGCTCTGTTTCTCTCTAGAACGCTCTCTACCTTTCAGAAACAATGAATGGGTGGGTGCTCATGCCACTGCTTTGGTGTGCATCTCTTCCTTCCCCCACCCCTCCCTCCTAGCTTGTCAGCCCAGGTGGTAGGTGTCAGGGACTGTGGGTTCACTCTATGTTCTTATGGTATCCCAATGTATTTCAGGAAGGGCCTGCTGAATGGATGAATGGATGGATGAATGAATTTGGGAACAGGTGTCAGGCAGACAAGGTTTTAGGCCTTCTGTCAAACAAAATGGGTATGTGAGGCCAGGAATGGTTATGCACACTTCTGATCCCAGTTTTCCAGAGATACTTCTGTGAAGATGGAACCTGATCTTCTTGTACGTAGGAAAATGTATCTCCCAGAGCCTGGCACCAAGGCAGTGTGTGTGTGTGTGTCTGTGTGTGTCTGTGTGTGTCTGTGTGTAGGGGAGATGGCCCCAACCTGACATGGCTTGACAATCTTGTCTCCTCTTCCCACTGACCAGGTGCTCACCTCATCTCCTATAGTGAACTGTAGATTGTTCTTCTCTGACTTCAGGAAACCATTGATATTCATGTAGAAGCTGGCGGCAGGTGCAGGGCAGGCCCATGTCAGGCTTCTAGTCATGGGGGCTCCCCAGCTGCCAACATCCCCACCCATGTTCTCCCTCCCTTGGGGCTCCCTCCTTGCTCCTGGTTGAGGGACAGGGGGGAGGGAATCAGGGCTCAGCAAATCTCTGAGGGAACCCAGGATGGGTTTGAGATCAGGTACCTTTTGGGAGGAATGAAGGGCCCTAGCCCGTTACTGTCGACATCCACTCGCATGACAGCACTGCCATTCTTGAGTGGCATGGGTGTGTACCAGCTCATGCCACACACCTCGCTGGCCAAACATGTTTCTGGTGGCAGGAGAGGGCACTGAGGTATGGGAGTGAGGCTCCAAGAGAAACCCTCCTCCAGGTCTAAGTGCACTGGCAGCTCCCGCCCCTGCCCCCCAGCCCATGGGGCACCTTTGTTGCGGAAGGGGGCCGCCTCCATCTGGATCTGCAACTGTTCTATCTTCCAGCGGTAGAAATTGATCGGGGAATGGAAGGTGACCAGCACCAGAGGCTTCATCCCCATCAGGTGGGCCCTGCGGACCAGGTCATCCGAAGGCTAAGGGGGTAGACAGCCTTAGGTAACTAACCTTAAGACAGCCCTGCCTTGAGACACCCTCCTCCTCCTCCTCCTCCTCCTCCAGACAGCCCTGCCTTGAGACACCCTCCTCCTCCTCCTCCTCCTCCTCCTTCTTCTTGCTAGATCTTGAACTCAGGGCCAGGGGCCAAAATGCTGCCCCTTAGCTTTTTTGTGCAAGTCTAGTGTTCTACCACTTGAACCACAGCTCCACTTCTGGCTATGTGGTGGTTAACTGGAGATCAGAGACTCATGGACTTTCCTGCCTGGGCTGGCTTTGAACTGTGATCCACAGATCTCCACCTCCTGAGTTGCTAGGATTACAGGCTTGAGGTACTAGCTGCCAGCTTTAGATAAATCTTGAATCCAGGGCTGGGGATGTGACTTAGCAGTAGAGTGCTTGCCTGACCTAGCATGAATGAAGCCCTAGGTTCAATTCCTTGGTACCACATACACAGAAAAAGCTGGAAGTGGCACTGTGCGCTCAAGTGGAAGAGTGATAGTCTTGAGCAAAAGCAGTTCAGGGACAGTGCCTAGGCCTGAGTTCAATCCCGAGGACTGGCAAAAAGCAAAACAAAACAAAACCCACTTAAATCCTGAAGGCCTGCAGTGTTGCATGGTTCTAGAGAGATGGGGGAAACTCAGGCTGCATCAGCCCACTCCCTAGGACACTCACCTCTTTTTTACAGGAGTAGTTGACCTTCAGATAGTAAGGGAAGCCCAGGTATTTCTGTAAGAGAGGTAGACAGATGTCCAGATCAGCACAGCTTCCCCCCTCCCCCCTCACCTCTTTTCTCCTGCTAGGTCCCCTCACCTCAGTGGGGTCAATGGGTGAGTCAGTTAGCAAGTTGAACACGTTGGCCACCGTGTCTTCGGGCTCTTGTGCAAAGAAGCGGACAGTGGAGGTAGCCTCCCCGACTTGGTGGAACTTGTTTAGGACCACCTGCCAGGTGCATTGCTGGAAATCATCCTGAATTGCCCACAGCCTCCAAGAAAACAGGAGTACCAGCAGCAGCGCCCACGGTGCCCATAAGACGCCTGCTGTGGGCCACACAAGGCTGGCAGGGGCCATGGCTGGGCACCGTGCAATGTAGCTAGAACCTGGAGGATGTGGAGATCAGCAGCCGCCTCTGCAGGACAGACAGACCTCTGTGATCCCACATGGCCCTGAGCCCGCGCCCCCCCCCCCCCCATCCTACCCATCCTAAGGTGTTTTTTTTTTTTTTTTTTTTTTTTTGTCGGTCGTGGGGCTTGAACTCTGGGCCTGGGAGCTGTCCCTCAGCTCTTCAGCTCAAGGCTAGCGCTCTACCACTTGAGCTACAGCGCCACTTCCGGTTTTCTGGTGGTTTATTGGAGATAGGAGCCTCATGGTCTCTCCTGCCCGGGCTGGCTTTGAACCGCGATCCTCAGATCTCAGCCTCCTGAGTAGCTAGGACTACAGGCGTGAGCCACCAGCGCCCGGCCCTTCCCAAGGTGTTTTGCACCTGGCATCGTCCCTGCTCTGCTCCTGGCTGCCAACGCTGCCCTCACTCCTAGCCCACCCCCCTGCTCTTGCTCAGGGCACCTCTCTGCCTCGGTTTCTGCTTTCTTGATTGGATGGCGCTCCACTGACTCCCACCGTCCTTCTCCAACCCACGATCTCACTCTTGTTCTGGACTTGCTGCGCCGTCTCTCATAGCCCTTCCTGTGCCTCTCCGCTCCTCAGCGACCCTCTTGATTCATTCCTACCCTGCCCAAGACCTTCGTCCTCTACTTGATCTTATTCTCCCTCCTCAGTCCTCTATCCAGGCTTTCTCCATGCCTGCCTTACCTCCTGTCCTCTCCCCTATATCTGGCTTGGGGCTTATTCTTGCTCAGCTTTTTCTCCCCGTACCACCACAGCCTCCTCCGCCAGCCTTTTCCTCGGGTCCTAGACCAGCTGGCTGAACCCTGCGTGCTCCTCACCACGCCTTTCCTCTGCCCGGCCCTCCCGTAGCCACGCCCCTCCGCTGCCCCACCAATCGCGGCCCTTCCCATAACACACCCTCTGTCCCGCCCCTCACACCAGCACACCCTCAGGAGGTCCCGCCCTCTCCTATATCCACGCCCCCAGCGGCCCTGCCTGTCGTATAGCCCCTCCCACAACCGCACCTCTACCCACCTCCTCGTAACCCTACTTCCTTCAGCATGCCCCGCCCTCTCCCGTGGCCACACCCCTCGTGCGGCCACGCCCCTTGGTGTACTCTTTCCTCTCTCCTCGCTCCACCCTTTCTCCTCAGGGACCCTCTCTTCTTGAGATTTCTTACCCCTAGCTGCCAGACCTCCACTCCCCTTTGGCTATCTTTTTGATCTTGTCTTTAGCGAACCCTCTCTTCCCGGTGGGGTCCCGCCTTACTTCTGGGTCTCCTTCCCATGTCCCTAGCCCTCTCCTTCCCCACACCATACTGCCTTCGAGGTGCTCATCTTCTCTCCACCTCCCCCCCGCCCCCGCCCTACTGCAGCATCCACCTGTTCGAAGCCACCTTTCCATGAACACCTGACAGATCTATAAGCCCCACCCTTTGCAGCCTCTTCTCTCCCCACTTCTGTTCTTAACCACACCTTGCCCTCTCCCTCCTTTTTCATATCTCCGTGGACTCTGCTGGGTCCCACCAATGTACAGTCTTCCTCCCTCTTCCCCCCACAACCTTCCCACACCTTCCCACAACCTTCCCACACCTTCCCACAACCTTCCCACACCTTCCCACACCCAACTTCCCATCTCTCTTCCCTTGCATCCTCAGTTAGAACGGCACCGCCCATTTCTCCCTGCCTTGCCTCACCAGTCAACCGTTGCTGAACAGCGCCCCCAACTTGCTCCGTCTCAAAATGGCTGTCCTCACTTCCACAACCAACGTCTGCAAGTCCGGAGACTTGCATGCGCAGCCTGTCTCCATGGTAACGGGCATCGCCCCCTCCCCTCCACTGAACCCCAAAGGCCGGTAAGATGGGTGACCAGGAGAGAGTGCTAGAGATGAGAAAGTGTGCGAAGGAGGCCGCCAAGGACTTCTTAATAGCTCTCTTGGCTGGGGCTGCTATTCCTATTTGCTTGCAGCTCAGAGATTCTACTCCTGAGTGGCTACAAATATGAGGATTGCAATTCAGGCACAAAGTGGTTACTTCCAAAATGACCAGTACAGAAAAGGGCTGGAGGCATGGCTCAAGTAACTGAGCATCTGCTTAGATGCTTGCTAAGTCCTACCTAAAATTCCTACTACCAAAACAAAACAGTAGGTATTATCAGCAGACAACAGCAAGCAGAAGAAAGAATACCAGGGATGGAGGATAGGATTGGAGAAATACTGCACTCAGAAAACGAAAAGGGGGAAAAAAGATAAACAAGTATGATTGCAAACTCCACTAGCACCTGGTAGGATATGGTCACAAGACCAAAAACAATTTTTTTGGTGGGTGGCGGTACTTAGGCTTGAACTCAAGGCCTGGGTGTTGTCCCTGAGCATTTTTTGCTCAAGGCTAATGCTTTACCCTTTGAGTCATAATTCCACTTCTGGCTTTTTGCTGGTTAATTGGAAGTTTCACAGAGTTTCTGCCCAGGCTGGCTTTGAACCGTGATCCTTAGATCTCAGCCTCCTGAGCAGCTAGGATTACAGGCGTGAGCCACCGGCGTCCAGCAAGACCGGGTAGTTTTTTATACAGTTTTCACTTATTTCTTTTCTTTTTTTTTCTTTTTTTGTCGGTAGTGGGGCTTGAACTCTGGGCCTGGGCGCTGTCCCTCAGCTCTTTAGCTTAAGGCTAGCGCTCTACCACTTGAGCCACAGCACCACTTCCTGCACTTATTTGTATAAACTTCACTTTTGTCCCTAGGCTTAGATTTAAATTCCACCTGCTGTTCTTTGGAAGGTGACTGTCTTATCTAAATCCGTCTGTCGAAGTGACTCCCATCGTTCTCGGCTTAGAGAAGGCTCTCCTGAAAAAATGGAACTTTCATGGTAGAAACTGTCGGGAACAGCACAGGTTGAAGCCACGGCGGCCATATTGATTACTGGCGTGAAGTTGTGAGAGTGTGGTCCTTTTCAGTTAGGGCAAACCGACTTCCGGGCACCATTTTGAGTGACAGTGAAGGCGGAGCCCTAACTGACATGTTCATTAAAGGCAGGGCTCCCAAGGTCCCGCCCCGAGGGCGCCGGCGCACCACCCGCGGTGAGCGGGATCAAGCAGCCTTAGCCACGCCTCCGACTTTAGGCTCCACCTCTATGCCCCACTTCCGCCGGGAGAGCGTCTGTAGGCGTCGCTGCCGTAAAACAAGCCGGCGGTTTGCCGCATCACGGAAGATGGCGGCCACGACGGTGAGCGGAGCCACCGGCGTCTCGAGCTCGGGCCCCGCCGCGGCGTCAGGTGCGGTTTTGCAGGCTGCAGCCGGCATGTACGAACAACTCAAGGGCGAATGGAACCGCAAAAGCCCCAATCTTAGCAAATGTGGGGAAGAGCTGGGCCGCCTCAAGGTAAGGGGTCGGCGGACGAGGGTAGGGTCACCGGAGAGGGCCTGGGTCGGGGGACGGTACGAAGGCGGGGGGTCACTGAGAGGGCGAAGGGTTCGGAGCAGCCTTGGAGATGCGGAGAAGTGCGAGAGTTGGGCCGAAGGCAGCCCCGGGGGTGGGCTGGGGCAATGATGGTTCAGGGTTACAATTTTGATAATCCGGAAGCCTTATTGGTTGGTGGGCAAGAATGGGGTGGGGGCGATCGTGATGGCGAGTTCCAAACACGACCGAGGGGGAGAATGAGGTTTCGATGATGGGATTGTGCAGGGCATGTGGGGTTAGGGACCCAACCGGACGGAACCAAAAGTATACGGGCACCTGTGGCTCATACCTGTAATCCCAGCTACTCAGGAGGCTGAGGTCTGAGGATCGTGGTTGGAAGTCTCCAGTTAGCCACCCCCTAAAACACACACACACACACACACACACACACACACACACGCCGAAAATGGAGCTGAGAGACTTTAGGGGTACAGCCAGAACTGATCAGGGACAGTGACAAGGCCCTGAGTTCAAGCCCCATGGCTGGCACAAAACAACTAAACAACAACCACCAAAAAACACCAAGAGTATGAGATTCTGGGGGTGAACACATTCGAGTGTGTTTGGGAAAGATGTAAATACAGTGTGCTGGATCAAAGTTGCTGGTGCATAGGCTGGACCAAGGAAGGTAAGTGCTTCTCACAGCTTTAAACCTTGAACAGAAACAGACTGCCAAGAACAGGGTGGATCAGTCACTGAGTGTCTCTCCTGTTTCTTCAGCAGGGTTATTTATAATTGCAATATGAATGAGGCCTGGTGTTGGTGGCTCACGCCTGTCAGCTACTCTGGAGGCTGAGATCTGAGGATCATGGCTTGAAGCAAAACCAGGCAGGATAATCTGAGTGACTGTTCCTCAAGTGGGTAGAGCACCAGCCTTGTGTAAAAAAGCTAAGAGACAATGTCCAGGCTTTTAGTTCAAACACCAGTCCTGGCGCACGCGCGTGCGCGCGCACACACACACACACACACACACACACACAGAAAATTACAATCTTATATGGGCATTTGTTATGTGTGCAAGCCCTGTTCTTAGGGTTTTTTTTGGTTTTTTTGGTCCGTTGTGGGGCTTGAACTCTGGGCTTCAGAGCTGTCCCTGCGCTCTTCAGCTCAAGATGAGCACTCTACCATTTGAGCCATAGTGCCACTTCTGGTTTTTGAACGGTTAATTGGAGATGAGGTTAATTGGGGACTTTTCTGCCTGGGCTGGCTTTGAACCATGTCCTCAGATCTCAGTCTCCTCAGTAGCTACGACTACGGGCATGGGCCTATGCCCACTTGGACCACTTCTTTTTTTTGGGGGGGGGGGGGGTCCAGTCCTGGGGCCTGAACTCTGGGCCTGGGCGCTGAGCTCTTCAGCTCAAGGCTAGCGCTCTACCACTTGAGGCACAGCACCACTTCCAGCTTTTTTCTTTTTGCTTATGTGGTGCTGAGGAATCAAACCCAGGGCCTCAGGCATGCAAGGCAAGTGTTCTACCACTGAGCCACCTTCCCAGCCCCTTTTCTTTTTCTTTCTTTCTTTTTTTTTTTAGGTCAGTTGTGGGGCTTGAACTCTGGGCTTGGGCGCTGTTCCCGCACTCTTCAGCTCAAGGCCAGCGCTCTACTGCTTGAGCCACAGCGCCACTTCTGGTTTTCTAGTGGTTTATTGGAGATAAGAGTCTTACGGAGTGTCCTGCCTGGGCTGGCTTTGAACAGTGATCCTCAGATCTCAGCCTCCTGAGTAGCTAGGATTACAGGCTTGAGCCACCAGTGCCTGGCTCTTTTCTTTTTCTTTTTGCCAGTCCTGGGGCCTGAACTCAGGGCTTGGGTACTGTTCCTGAGCTCTTTTGCTCAAGGCCACAGTGCCACTTCCAGCTTTTTCTGTTTATGAATCGAACCCAGGACTTGATGCATGCTAGGCAAGCACTCTACCACTAAGCCACATTTCCAGCCTGGACTAGTTCTTTTAATAAAGCAGTTTTATGAGTTAGGAGTAATAGTTAGCTCAAAGAACTTAAGTGACATATTTGAAATCTCATCTTTTTTTTTTTTCTTTCCCATCAGCTGGTCCTGCTGGAACTCAACTTCCTGCCTACCACAGGGACCAAGCTAACCAAACAGCAACTCATTCTAGCCCGTGAGTGTTACTGGCACTGGTGGTGGTGTTGGTGGTGGTAGGGTGCTGAGCTGGTGTCAAGACAGTAACGGCAGCAGTGGTGGACTGGGGAAGGGACCCCAGCCACCCCTGAGAGCCCACTGTATCACTCACAGGTGACATACTGGAAATCGGGGCCCAGTGGAGCATCCTACGCAAGGACATCCCCTCCTTTGAGCGTTACATGGCCCAGCTCAAATGCTACTACTTTGATTACAAGTGAGGATGGGTCCTGCCTGAAACGGGAAGGGGAGGGAGTTACGTGGCAATTCATTTATATCTGGTGGTGGTCTAGCCATGCAGGTCATCTTTCACTTGGGAACTGTTGTCCCCAGAGGCTGAAGGATCATAAAGTTGTCTCAGAGATCTGAGGTTGGGGTTGTATGGCGCAGTTGCTGTAGATGTTAAGTCTGTCTCCCTTTATCTACTCCCATACTATTCTCTTCTCTCCAGTATGGCCAAAATCACTATTTACCTTCCTGTCTTGTTTTGTTCCTGTGATTCTTATACAAGAACCAGTAGGATCCCCCTCCTCACCTCTGGAGGCCCTACTATAGTCTAGGCCTATAACTTGTGGACCTCTTGCCTCTGCTTCTCAAGTGCTAGGATTATGTGTGCCTGGACCAATAGGATCTCTATGATTCTAAAGTATGACTGTATTGATCCTCTACTTAAAACCTGTCATGTCAGTGGTGCTGTAGCTCAAGTGGTAGAGCGCTCGCCTTGAGCTGAAGAGCTGAGGGACAGCGCCCAGGCCCAGAGTTCAAGTCCCACGACCGACAAAAAAAAAAAAAAAAAAAAGTTTGGAAAACCTGTCATGTTCTCAATAGCATTCAGGCTTAAGACCTAAATCTCTTTCAGTGGCCTCCATTGCTGTCCTTGCCCTCACCCATCTCACTGTACCCTTCACCCCACCCCTAACCTTCTGCCTGTACCTTCCCTATCCAGCCCTCTCTTCCTTTGGACTGTGAGCTTCTTGAAAGCAGAGAGGATACTGTCTTGTGCTGCTTTGTCCTCAGCACTGCCTAGCACAGGACAAGGCCCAGATTAGTCACTCACTAAATGTGTGTTGGATATAAAACTAAACTAAAGCACGAATTTGACATTAAGTTTGGGTTTGACTTTACCTTTCTTTAGGTCATCTTTTTTTTTTTCCCACCTGTCCTGGCTGCTGTCCCTGAGCCCTTTTTCATTTTTTCCCCCCCTTTTTCTGTTTATGTGGTGCTGAGGAATCAAACCCAGGGCTCATGCATGCTAGGCAAGCACTTTACCACGAGGCCACATTCCCAGTCCAAGTCTTAATTCTTTTTTTTTTTTTTTTGGGTCAGTCATAGGGTTTGAACTCTGGGTCTGGGCACTGTCCTTCAGCTCTTCAGCTTGAGGATAGCACTCTACCTCTTGAGCCATAGCCCATTTCTGGTTTTTGGTGGTTTATTGGAGATAAGAGTCTCATTGATTTCCCTGCCTGGGCTGGCTGGCTTTGAACCACTATCCTCAGATCTCAGCCCTGAGTAGCTAGGATTACAGATGTGAGCCACTGGTGCCCAGCCCAAGTCTTAATCCTTAATTAAGATTCTTAATATAATCTTAGTACTTAATAGAGTTTATTTGGGGTAGGTAATCTTATCACTTTACGTGGGTTAGGTCATTTAATTCATTTCATGTATACTTATGGATCCCAACTCTCTGCTATGGACACTCTGGGAAATAGTCTTATGTTACTTCTGTGGCGTGAAGTTGCTTGCTTCAATGTGATTTGTGACATTTGTGTTTCTCTGGACCTCAACTTCCTCATCCGAACCTCCTTGAACCCTTATCAGGGCTGGAGCCTGAGATCAGGCACCTGATTGGCCTGGAAATCCTTCTTACCTGATTCCCCTCCCTGGTTCACAGAGAACAGCTCCCCGAGTCAGCCTACATGCACCAGCTCTTAGGTCTCAACCTCCTCTTCCTGCTGTCCCAGAACCGGGTGGCTGAATTCCACACGGAGCTGGAGCGCCTGCCTGCCAAGGACATCCAGACCAACGTTTACATCAAGCATCCTGTGTCCCTGGAGCAAGTGAGTCTGGGGCAGAGGTGCGGGAGGGCCTGGCTGAGGGGGCTGTGTGAGGACAGACATTGGGAGGGTTTCTCAGAGGAGCTGTTGGTTCCCTCATCCTCATCCCACAGCCTCATTCACATCCTGAGGCCTGGCTGTATGACAGGCATTGGGCTGGGTTTGCAGACTGAGAATCAGATAAAGTTCTAGACCTTATAAAGATGGCAAGGAGGAGAGGAAGTAGACAGTGTGCCAAAAGAATGAGCAAATCTGTGTGATCTGTCAGATGCCAGGAAAGAAACTTAGTAGGAAATGGTGGAGACGCTGGGAAGGGGTGAAGATTTCTGTGGAGTGAGATCTGAGGACCTGAATGTGAACCGTGGTGAGAAGTGAACCATGGTCAATCCAAACAGAGGGACCTGTCAGTTTTAGATGATTGAAGGCCAAAGTCTGCTGTGTTTGAGGCACAGCAAAGAGGACAGTTTGTAGAGTGAAGCGAACAGAGTCTGGGAAGAGCCCTCAAAGCTATGTGAGGAAATGGTTTCTCTAGCCCAGGTCCCTGAAGGATGTGACTTGGGGGTGCAGGTAGGTGGCAGCACAGTCCAGGCTGGATCTAGCCTTGCCTCCTATCACAGGAGAGATAATGGGATCCAGCCTTGAGCTGGCTGGGAGAGCGCGCGCGCGCGCGCGCGCGCGCGTGTGTGTGTGTGTGTGTGTGTGTGCGTGCACGTGCGTGCATTTAGTTATGTGCAGAGCTTCCTGAAAAGAATGTTACCTGATACAAATGGGTGACTATATAGCAAAGGGGTGCCTGGCAGCATGGGGACTGGGGTTAGGGGGTGTACAGGAGTTCAGGGAGGCCCTGTGCTGCCTTTTCACCCTCTTCCTTCTCACCTGTAGTACCTGATGGAGGGCAGCTACAACAAGGTGTTCCTGGCCAAGGGGAACATCCCCGCTGAGAGCTATACCTTCTTTATCGACATCCTGCTCGACACTATCAGGTGAGGGCTAGGCCCATGGGATTCAGAGAGAGCTTGGACTTAACGTGAGTCCTGTACTGGCTGGTTATGGCCAAGTGGGCTGGGCTGGATTCCTATTCTCCCAGTTCCAGTAGGACTGGAGTGGTGTGGGCAGCGGCCCCTCTCTTGCCCAGGCTGTTTATATATAGAAGGGCCATTTGTGTCAACCTTGAGCCAGGGTATGACAGACAGCTCCACAAGCAGGGCCATCTTGCCTCTGATAAGTGCTGTGGACATTCGTGGGTTTTCTTTGTGCATGTGTTTGCATGGACCTAAGCGTAGTGCTGGGGTGGAGTCACATCCCCAGCCCTCTAAGGTATTTTCCATTATGAAGGAGTTGTTAATGTGACTGTCCATACCTGTCTAGAGAGGGACTTGCCTTTTACTTTTTTGGCTTGCTGGTGAGTTTTTTTTTTTGTTATCAATCGTGGGGCTTGAACTCTGAACCTGGGTGCTGTTCCTGAGCTCTTCAGCTCAAGGCTAGCGCTCTACCACTTGAGCCACAGCGCCACTTCTGGCTTTTTCTGCTTATGTGGTGCTGAGGAATCGAACTCAGGGCCTCATGTGTCTAGGATTAGCACTCTATCACCAAGCCACCTTCCTAGCCCCGGCAGCATTTTTTTTTTTTTTTTTTTGTCTTTTAAGATATTTTGTGATGTCCAAGCTGACCTTAAACTTACCATACTACCTCTGCCTCCTGAGTGCTGGGATGGATTATAGGCATGTTCCCCATGCCTGGCCTTGCTGTTTACTTCTGCAGTGTTAATGCTCCTTTTTTGGGGGGGGAGGGGAGAGGTCAGTCATGGGGCTTGAACTCTGGCCCTGGGTGCTGTCACTCAGCTCTGCAGCTCAATGCTAATGCTTGAGAGCCACAGCGCCACTTCTGATTTTCTGAGTGGTTTATTGGAGATAAGAGTCTCACGGACCTTCCTGCCTGGGCTGGCTTTGAGCTGCAATCCTCAGATATCAGCCTCCTGAGTAGCTAGGATTAGGCGTGAGCCACTGGTGCCTGGCCATGCTACCTTTTTTTTTTTTTTTTATTGTAAAGATACTATACAGAGGGTTACAGTTACATGAGTGAGGTAATGAGTACACTTCCTCTTGAACATTGTTACCCCCTCCATTGTTTTCCCCCTACCATCCCCTCCCTCCCTCCCTTCCCCGAGGTTCTTTTTTTTGATTGTGATTAATTGATTACATAATTTCAAAGTCACAAGTTCATTCTAACTTTCCTGGAGCAAATTGTCTATCCCATGCTACCTTTTGATGGGTCTTTTTTTTTTTTTTGCAAGTCCTGGAGCCTGAACTCTGGGCCTCGGTGCTGTCCCTCAGCTTTTCAGCTCAAGGCTAGTGCTCTACTACTTGAGCCACAGCGCTACTTCTGGCTTTTTCTGCTTATGTGGTGCTGAGGAATTGAACCCAGGACCTCATGCATGCAAAGCAAGCACTACCACTGAGCCACCTTCCCCACCAGAAGTGTGTCTTACTTGAGGAAATTCTATCAGGTTACTCTCAAGCTGGGTTTCAGGCAGCCTGAGGCCCTCACGCCTGGGTATGGGATTCAGAGCATGCACCTGCTCTGCTGCCTCCACAGCCCCAGGAACCAGATCTAGAGTGGGTTCCCCGAGGCCCTGACCTGGTCTGTGGCTCTCGTCAAGCCCATTTTCTGAGCCTCCATCAGTGAACTAGGGCAGTGACAGGGCCAGTTAGCCATCAGTGCTAACCGGCAGGGTCAGAACCAACCTGAGTCAGGCGTGGGAGGACAGTCTGAGTGGCTGTCAGTGTTCAGTAATGAGAACTCATCTTCCCTCTAGGGATGAGATTGCTGGGTGCATTGAGAAGGCCTACGAGAAAATCCTCTTCACTGAGGCTACCCGGATCCTCTTCTTCAACACACCAAAAAAGATGACAGACTATGCCAAGAAGGTGGCTGGGGTACAGGGCAAGGGGCTCTGGAGCCAAGGGTTGCACTCTGTCAGCACTTCAATGAGCAGTGGAGTGGTCTAGAGGAAATTGGACTGCCAAGGGTTCAATTCAGACCTCACCCAGGTTGCTAAGCTCTCAGAGCTTCAGTTTGTCTATCAACAGAAGGAATAAGTTTAGCTTAGCATCTGGCACCAGGTGAAGGGTTCTCTCTTCATATTGGCTTTTATCCTTATCAGCATTCCTTTAGAAGTGGCAGCTTTTCCCCATAAGCCTCTGCTTCATTTGGTTTAGAACATTTGTGCAGGTACAGTACTGGGTACACAGTTACCCTGGTGTTTGGAAATAGGCTCAAGAGTAGACAGCTGGGCACTGGTGACTCATGCCTGTAATCTTAGCTACTCGGCAGGTCTAGAGAATTGTGGTTCAAAGCTAACCCTGCCAGAAAAATCAAGCGGCTATCTCCAAAGTAAACAGCAAGATGCTGAGTTGGAGGTCTGGCTCAGTGGCAGAGCACCTGCCTTGCAAGCAAGCTGGGCAAGCACCAAGGCCCTGAGTTGAAACCCTAATTTGTTTTTTATTTTTTGAGACAATCCTGGGGCTGGAACTCAGGGCCTGAGCACTGTCCCTGCACTTTTTTTTTTTTTGGGGTCCGGTCGTGGGCCTGAACTCTGGGCCTGAGCGCTGTCCCTCAGCTCTTCAGCTTAAGGCTAGCACTCTACCACTTGAGCCACAGTGCCACTTCTGGCTTTTTTTTTTTTCTTATGTGGTGCTGAGGAATCGAACCCAGGGCCTTGAGCATGCAAGGCAAGCGCTCTACCACTGAACCACCTTCCCAGCCCCTGTCCTTGCACTTTTTGCTCACGGTTAGCATTTTACCATTTGAGCCACAGTACCACTCCTGGTTTTTCTGTGTATCTGGTACTGGGGAATCGAACCCAGGGCTTCATGTATGTTAGGCAAGCACTCTACCACTAAGCCACATTCCAGCCCACCCTAGTATTTTTGATGTCTCAATTCACTGAACTCTTAGAGCATGCCCAGATAGGAGTATGACTAAGGTTTTGTCTCCAGCATGAAGAAATTGAGGCACAGTAAAGTTCCTTGCCAGAGTTGTGGGGCTAGAGGGAAGACGAAGTGAGCAATGACATGCATGAGTTGTGGCTCCATGGGGGTAGGGAATTGAGTCTTTGGGATCACCCTACTCATCTTCGAAACCTCTTTCTGCAGCGAGGATGGGTCCTGGGTCCCCATAACTACTACAGTTTTGCCAGCCAGCAGCAGAAGCCAGAAGACACTACCATCCCCTCCACGGAACTGGCGAAACAGGTCATTGAGTATGCCCGGCAGCTGGAGATGATTGTCTGAGCCCCGTGGCCTGGGCTGAGTGCCCAGGATGGGCAGGACATACATGGCTGTTCAGTCCTGGTGCAGCTGTCCAATAAAGGTGGATTGACCTCACTTCCAGGCCCTTGTCTCCCCAGTTGGGATGGCGGGGAGACAGCCTGGGAAACTTGGAAGCCTGGGTTCTCTTGGGGGTTGCTAGAAACACCCCCTCCAGCCTGCCTGTCTAGAGGCCATTCATTGCTCCAGGCCTCAAGCACAGGCACCCACATGTAGAGGGATTGTTCCAGTGAATTGTTGACAGTGAATTAAATAATTTTTAAAATGTGACATGAAATGGACCCCATCTGTGGGCTGCTAGGGTGAGCCATCTGGAACAGAAATTATAGGCCCTTGTGTGGATATATGCCTGCACCCCTCTTCTGAGGAGTCCCTGTGGCCTGGGACCTCTCCACCTACCAGCTTCTTAAAGTTGAGTCCAAGCCTGGCCGAGCCATTTGTGCTGACTCAGTTCTCCCCACTGTTGCCTTGAGAGTGGTCTCTCCAGAGTGACTTGGGCTCACCTCGAAGCTTGGCACCAGACAGCACCCGTCGCTGGTATTAGGGGAGTGAGTGTCCCGTCCCCCCCCCCCCCCCCCCCCCCCCCCCCCCCCCCCCCCCCCCCCCCCCGCCCAGTAGATGCTATCTGGAATCCCTGTCACTTAAGTCCCAGTGGTGACTTGACAGGCAAGGAGGCTGGAGTTACTTTATTAGCATCGAGGGGCAAGCAAGGGCGTTGAGACCACGCTCAGTTGGAATGGGTGGTCTGCAAGTCGTAGTGCTCCAACCCAGCTACCAGCGAGCCGGCCAGCTTGATGGTGGCGACCCAGGGTGGCTCACTCAGGTGGTTGGTGGGTGTCCTCAGCCTGGGAAGAGGGAAGAATGGAGGCCTGTTTATGACCAGGTTCACCTTGTTGGATGGAGAACTCCTTTTGGGGGGCTGCAGGGTGGGGGCTTGCTTTTCCCTGAAGGCTGGCAGAATATCTCTAAGGCAGTTTAAGGCAGAGCTACATTCGCTTAAGTACCGAAAGATGCTGTAGGTGGGTCCCTAGCTGAGCCCTTAAGTGTCCCACTAGTCTCAGGGATTGTGTTCGAGAACCGGGATCAGACTGGTCGTCCAGATGAGTGGGGAAGGCTGCCCGCCACACGCAGGAACTCATATGGAACCTTTGCAGCACAAGGGCTGGAACAGCAGTGCCCTCTAGTGATCAGAGGCTAGCGGTTCCGGAGCCTGAGGGGCTAGGCCAAGGGCTCTCTTTTGTTCAGAGTTGGGGGGAGGCGGGTCCTGTCTTGTTGGTTCTGGGAGGGCAAACTTCGCCTTTGCGCCCTTAGGGGCAGGCTTAGGGGTCCAGTCCCTCCCTCATGGCCCTGGAGGGTGATGCTCAACCTGGAGGTCTGCGCCAGTGTTCCCCTGGTTCCTTATTACGCGGGTCCAGCCAAGTTAGGCATGTGGGTAAGAGGGTCCAGGGGAACGTTCCCTCCCCTCCCCGCTTCCTGACCTCCCTCACCAAGCAGACACGTTGCGCGGCAGGCGGCGATGGCGGGGCTGGTGGCGGCAGTAACACTTGCAGGGACAAGAGTTGAGCACCTGGAAGGGCGGCCAGTGGTGCACAGCGCCTTTGTTACCTGCCCCTGAAGAGGCCCCGCTGCTGCCGTCCATGGTGGAGGCCCGGTCTCCAGGTGTGCCGTCTTCGCGGGCTGCGCCTCGGGCTGCGCGGGAGCCCTTGTTCCTGCGCGTGCGAACCTTGGCGGGCGCGGGCGCGGGCGCCAAAGGTTCAGTGGCCACGGGAGCAGGGGCCGGGGCCGGAGCCGGGGCCGGGACCGGGGCTGGGGCCAGCACAAGGGCTGCGGCTTGGTCCACGGCCAAGGCGGGGGACAGAGCAGGAGCTGGGGCTGGAACCCGGGCCGCCTCCTCGTGGCCCGGGCCAGGGGTGGGCGGGCGGACCGGCAGCCGCGGCGCGGGCTGGAGCGGCTCGGGCTGCGGGGTGGGAGGCGGCGCGGGCGGCGGCGTGGCTGGCGGCGTGGGGGGCGGAGGCGGTGGTGGAGGCGGAGGCGGAGGCGGCGGCGGCGGCGGCGGGATTTGCTGCGGGCCCGTAGGCCCGGGGCGCGCGGGCTCGCCATTGGTGGGCGCCGGAAAGATGAACATGGGCGGCGCCAGCAGCGCAGGTGCAGGCCTCCGGGGCCCCGGGGCCGGGTGCGTCTGCCCAGGTGGGGGCGGAGGGGAGCCCCAGGGCCCCGAGAGCGCGGCAGCGCGCCGTCGGGGCACCCCGATGCCTCCGCCGGCCCCGTTGAAGCGGAAGTGGCGCTCAGGGCCATCTGGGGGGCTCACCCAGTCGAATTTGGGTTTAGAGCCTGGGAAGGTGGTGTAGGGAGGCGGCTGTGGGGCCCGGGCCTGGGACGCAGGCACCGAAGGGGGACCAGGGCACCCTTCGCAGTCTCCATCGCCGCCCTCGGTTTCCTGAACCCCTCGAGGAGGTTCCCCGGGGGTCCGGGGGGCTCCGGGGGCCAGGGACCCCTGCTTCAGGACCTCGGCATACGAGGCAGCGAAGAGTCCGCCGGCCCCGCCGCTGGCCCCGCCGACCCCGAGGGAGGGTTTGGTGGCCAGGGGACCCGGGGGTGCCGCAGGAGACAAGGTGGGGCCCGACTTGAAGGTGACTTTACACAGCAGGCTCAGGCCTGGTTCTGAAGCCGCGGGCCGAGCCATGTCATCTCCCCCTTGGGGAGCCGCCCCTCCGCGCGCTCCGCCAGCCGTCGGGGCTTCGGGGCAAGGCCTGGCCTGGCTTTCGGGGGTGCTGGTGGCGGATGCGGCCAGAGCTGGAGCGATCCTGCGGCTCGAGGGCTGCTGCGAAGACAGCGGCAGCGGCGGCGGCGGCGGCGACGGCGGCGGTGGCGGTGGTGGTGGCTGTGTCGGCGTCGGCGGCGGTGGCTTCCGAGGCTCCAGGGGCGTCGGAGGTGGGGCTGAGGCCCTCGGGACTGGGTCCTTTTCCGTTAGTTGCCGGGGCAGCGGAGGCAGCGGGCGGAGGTTCGGAGGGTCGCCTTGGCCGCGATGGCTCGCCTCCAGCAGGCCGCGGATCCGGGAAACCGCGGTACCCGTGGGTTTTCGCCACTTAGACGGCGCGGGCAACAGGGTCCCCACGGGGGGCGGGGGTGGTGTGGTGACCGTGGCCGCAACCGCCTCCTCTGGAGGGGGCGTCACTGGCGAGGGCAGTTCTAAGGTCAGGGGCAGGGGCGAGGGTGAGGCCTGGGGTTCTGGGGGTACCAGGAGTACCGGGGGCGCGGAGGTGCCCGGGAACCAGACGCCCAGCCCTCGAGCCAGGCGCATGGCTGGGGAGGAAGGGGTCACCTCGGGCTCCACCAGGGACGTCCGGCGGGAATCAGAGGCGCGGTCTGAGGCCTGCTCTTTTCGGGAGCCCCCGCCCGCGGACGGCTCCGACTGTACGTTCCCCATTTCCCACGGAGGTCTGGGACTGTAATCAGATAAATGTCTCCCAGTCAGTCTGCCAAGACTGCGGGAACCCCACGATCCCCGGCTCTTCTTGGACTTAATCTGCATTAGTCCCGTCTCAGTCCCTCCCCCACCCCCCAATATGCCTCCTCAGTCCTGCGCTCTCAGTCTCTCTTTCCTCTCCGGTCGCCTATTTACCCAAAGCCCCTCCAAAGCCTGAGGTGCACATACTTAGGCCCCACCCCTTTCATGTACTAAGATTCCATCACAGTTCCCTTGGTTGCTTAGCTCACACCCCTACACTCTTGACCACGCCCCAGGTCCCCAGGCTAAAAGACTCAAAACTTGTGTCGTCGTCGTCGTTCCCTCCCCCCAACCCCTTTTCGGTGGTGTCCCCTACCCTAGCCTACTAAGAGGTGACACTTTCCTCCCCAAACTCTTGACGTCTGCCTCTGCCTAACCAATACTAGGTATTCAGTTCTTACCAATCCCCCTCAGCTCTAAACCTCTTCTCATCACCCACTCTTTCTCAGGCGATCGTTTGGATCTTTCCCACTTCCCAGACAGTGGTAGATCTACAAGTTCCATTCCTCAACTTCTTTTCCCGCTTCGGGTTTGTAACAATCAGGTCTCAATAACTCAAGGTTTCCAATTCTTAACTTCGAGCTCCGTCTCCGCTCCCCGACCTCCCAAAAAGGCTCCACTCACCGACTCCTCCAGCCGACCGAAGTTCAGGCCGCGGCCCCCTAGGCCCAGGGTAGAGCGGGGAACGGCCGTAGCAGAAAATAACCGAAAAGAACACGGGGGAGGGGAGGAGGGGAGGTGCGGGTGAAAGCCAGTGGGGCGAGACTGCCAGGTTGAATCCCCAAGCTCGAGGCCACGCCCCCTAGCCCGAGGCCACGCCCCCTGTGAGTCTGTTGAAGCCCTGTCCTTAGGAACCTGGATCTCCCTTCCAAAGACTGACGTCTTGTAGTCCCCACCCCCAGGCCTGGCTTCCTAAGCCCCACCCCTTTAGAATGTTTTCTCTTTAGCCCCGCCCTTTGACTTAGCCCCTCCCCTTTGTAGTGCTACGCCCTTCCTCGTCAGTCCCGCCCTAGGCCCCGCCCACTGCGAACTCCACAGCGTAGCTCCTCCTTCTGGACCATTCATGGGCTGCGGGACTCCGGAGGAAATTGATCGCTAAGCTCTGCCTTTTTATTTTATTTGCTGGTCCTGGTGTTTGAACTGAGGGCCTGCACTCTGTCCGTAAGGTTTTTCCGCTCAACGCTTTAGAGCCACAATTCCAATTCTGGCTTGGTGGTGGTTAATTGGGGATAAAGAGTTCATGGACTTTCCTGCCAAGGCTGGCTTTGAGCCTCGATCCTCAGATCTTAGCCTCCTGAGTAGTTAGGATGACAGGTGTGAGCCATCCGGCACGCAGCGGCTAACTCCATCTTTTTTAGGATCTGTCTGTATCTTTCAGAGACTCCCCCGCCCTTCCTCCTTCCACAGAGGGCCCCCTCCCATAACACACCTTTGCTTTGGACCTGTGGGAGCATCCAAACCCCTTCCTCAAGCCCACCGACCCCGCCCCTCCAGATTGCACCCTTCACTCCCCACCCTTTTCTGAACTGCTCCACCCAGCCCCGCCCATTTGAGCCCAAACCCTAGGCCACTGCCCCATTTTAGCGCCCTGAAACCATCCTCTCTTCCTCCCTGTCCCTCCCCGCCTCTTCCTCAGGGAACCTTGGGCCTGATGGGAGTGGAAGAGTAGAGGGATCACGTCTGGATCCTGGAAAAAAAAAAAATGGGGGCTGGCGGGGGGGGGGGGGGGCGGTTGTTCATTGTAGCCAATACCGGTCTCTAGGACCCAGCGGGCCTCGCTCTGCCTGCCTCGCTCTTACCCCTCCCCCACGCCGCCCCCCCCACCGTCTTCCAGGTTCCCCCTCCCTCCCCCCAGCGCCCCGGCTCCGGGTGCCGTCTCTAGCGCCGCCCGAGCCAGCGAGGGAGCCGGAGAGAGCAGAAGGAGGAGGAGGAGGAGAAGGAGGAGGAGGAGGAGGCCGCGTCGCCGCCGCTCGGAGCCCGGCCGGAGCCTCCCAGGCAGGTGCCCAGGGGCGGGCAAGGGGGCGGGGGCTGACAGACTGCCTGCCCCAGCCAGGGGGCGACCAGGACCCCGCTGCACCTTCTGCCCACCCAGGTGACCCGCACACCCCAGCTGGGAAAACAGAAGGTGATGGGGTCCCTAAAGTACGCGGCAGCCATTTGGGGGTACCAGTCTCCATTTAGGGGTGTGTGTGGTGGGGTCTTACATTCCCTTTGAAGATTCCCATTCACAAAATTTCATCCTGGCCCCTCTCCATTGAGGGAACTCTGAGGACCACTTCCCCAGGAGGCGGAGGGGGGGGGGGACGGAGATTTATTTGTGGGGAGCGTAGGGCATCCTGGGATCCTGATGCCCCATCCCAGCTAGGCCCTGGGTGGTGGGGAGGGAGGGGAGGAAGCCCCTGCCCTCTTTCAGTGCTTCACCTGTTGTCGGGGGAGGCGGGCGGACAAAGGAAGCAGTGTCACGTGACTGCTCATTCACAAAATCCCATCCCATTGAGAAAAAGGGGGCTGGGGGCGCTGCGGCCGCCCCTTCCTCTCCCAAAGGGCTGGGGAAACCCGGCAGCCTGCAGGTGGGGGAGGGGGCTAGAGCTTGTGGCTGGGTCCCCTAAAGGTTGGGACGTCTGGGTCCCCGTGTTTGGGTAGCAGTGAGGTGAGTGGGGGGTGCTGGGCGCTAATCGTGATTACTGGGCGGAGGACTCTGTCCTCTGAGCTGGGGGGCGGGGTAAAATGCTTCTGAAGGGTGCTGGAGGGAATATGGGGGGGGGGAGGAATCAACACCCCCTCCCCAATCTCGGACACACACCATCTCTCCTTTATTTTTTTTTTTCTTTGCTTTCTTCGGCCCAGGACCCGAGAAAGCAGCTTTGATTTTTTTTTTTTTGTGAATGAAAACGCTCGTTGGATCTCTTCAGTTTCTGGCTTCCTCAGCCAGCCTCCATCTCCTCCCCCCCTCTCTCTTTCTCTTTCTCTCTCTCTCTCTCTCTCTCTCTCTCTCTCTCTCTCGGCCTCTCTTTCTGGCCATTTCTCTTCCCTGCTTCCCTGCCCATCTCCTGGTTGCTGGGTGACTCAGTGAGCTTTGCATCCGGTCTCATTCATAAATCCGGGAAGGGGTGGGGTGGGGTGGGGGGGAAAGAGAGCCAAGCTTTTCCACCCAGCTTAGTGGCCTGGGTGACAGGGTGCAGGGACAAGCGCTGGGGTGGGGGGTGGGGAACTGGTGCTGTAGTTGATGGGCTCAGGGAAAATACATATGCGCAGGAACCCAGCTGTGTGTGTTGGGGGGGGGATGATGGGTGGGGCTGTGGGTATGTGCTGACTGAGGAGAGGGGGTTGAGGGGATGAGCTGGAGGAGGGGAGGTGGCAAACCTAGACTGGGGGCTGAGGGTGAGAAAGATGGGGGAAAGGAGGGTCTGGCTAGGGAAGGTAGCCCTGGGGGAAGAAGGCAGATAGGAGAGAGATGTCAGAGGAAGAAAGAAGCCATGCCAGAAGAAAGGGGGCATGAGGGGGAAATGGTGGGTATTGTGGCTGAGGGTGCTCTGGGCCCGGATGTGAGAGATGAAGATGGAGGGAGGGAGGGAAGGAACACTGAAGGAAGGAGCAGGATTTGAATTCACAGACTTGTCCTTGTCTTCTCCCATGTCCTCTAGGTACATGGTGCGGGTCCGAGCCGTGGTCATGGCCCGAGATGACTCCAGTGGGGGCTGGCTTCCTGTGGGGGGCGGGGGCCTCAGCCAGGTGAGCGTATGTCGGGTCCGAGGGGCCAGGCCCGAGGGGGGGGCCCGCCAGGGGCACTACGTCATCCACGGGGAGCGCCTCCGGGACCAGAAAGTGAGCCACCCTGGGGCGTGAGGGTGGGGTGTGACCTTTGGGGGAGGCTGGAACGGGGCTGGGGGTCTAGAGGGCAGGTTAGATTGTCTTCTCATCTGAGACTCAAACTGGGATGGAGGGGGTGGAATTTGGTAAAGAATCCTGTCCTAAAGATAAAAGTTGGGCTTTGGGGAGGGGTCTATTGGGGGTGTAAGCAGGTCTGGGCCACTGCCTCTTCTTGCTATTCTGTCACCACAGCCTCCTTAGTGATTTGCCCTGCTCCCTTCCTGCTCCCCCTTCCATCCCAGTTGGTCCTACCTGGGCCCTGCTCACACCTGACTCAGGCCATTTCCCTGCTCAGCTCTGAAGCCTTCCTGGGCTTCCTCTTCAAGATCATCACTCCCCCCCCCCCCCACGCCCCCGCATCCACCAAGTTGGCCCCTGTCGGCCCCAAAGCCTGATGGAAGGCATTTGATTTGGGGGGAGGGCGGTCCTTCTTAGAAGTGTCTAATATCAGTTGCCAATTTTCTGTGTGGTTTCAGCAGGGGTAAACTGGCTTTCTTTTGGACACCAATCTGGAGAGATGAGATAGAAGTTTCAGCTGGGGATGTAGTAGGAAACTTTGAATTGTTTGACAAGACTTGGGGGAGGTAGTGTTTAAGAGTAGGAGTCACTAGGGAGAAGATGAGAGGGGACAGGGATGTGGACCAGCATTGAGGGGGGATTGTGGAAATACAATAAGAACAGTCAGGAAATGCTTGAGGCCAGAAGTGTGGAGAGTATTCTGCCTGCTGGGTTATCTAGAAGGAGCAGGCATTCAATAAGATTTGGAGTTCCTTACTAGGGCACCAGAAAAGGATCAAAGGACAAGAGGAAAAAGTAGAGGATGATCAGAGATCCATTTCATAAAATTAGGGTGCCGTATTGGGGTGACAAGGAGGGCTCAGGGGTACATGTGGGAGATGAAGTTGGTGGGGGTGCTGTAGAATGCAGAAAAGGTTAGCATTAGGGAAAGTCATGGCTGGGGAAGGGGATGTCTGAGTTGTTTCCCTTCCTGCCTCTCAGATCACCTTAGAGTGTACCCTGAGGCCAGGCTTGGTTTATAACAAAGTGAACCCCATCTTTCACCACTGGAGCCTGGGCGACTGCAAGTTTGGCCTGACGTTTCAGAGTCCTGCAGAGGCTGATGAGTTCCAGAAGAGTCTGCTGTCTGCTCTGGCTGCCCTCAGCCGAGGTGAGCCACGTGGGTGGAAGGCACTGGGGATGGAGAAGGCAGGAGAAGCTGGGCCTGGGGATTCACTCTCTGCTTCTCTCCCTACCCCAGGTTCACTCACTCCTTCCTCATCTTCATCCTCCTCTTCCCCTTCCCAGGACACCGCAGAGACTCCCTGCCCTCTCACGGTGAGTCTTCTGTCTTCTGATTCCTTTGTTGAGTTTTCTTTCTGGTCTACAAATTCCTGGGAGCCTACAGTATAGCAGGCATCAGGCCACCCACTGGGGACACGGGATCCAATCTGGTCAGTTCAATCTCACTTACTCTAGTTTTTCTGTTCTATTGAGAATCACAGAATTGTTAAAGATATTTAACAAGTAACTTCTGTATACCAGGCTGTGTTTTAGATACTGGGGGCACATCGATAATCAAGTTTCTTTCCTCTTGAAGCTACCTTCTAGTCTAGTGGGAAAAGGCAATTTAAAAATAAGATGAAGGGGTTGGAATCGTGGCTCAGTTGGCAGAGCACTAGCCATTGAGCAAAGTATCAAGTACTACATTTAATAAATAAATAAAAGGAGAAAATGAAAAGACTAACCATAAATAGGGCTGGGGGCAGAGCTGAAGTGGTTAAGTACTTGCCAAGCAAGCTGGAGGCCCCTGAGTTTAAACCAAAGGATGGGGGGGGGGGGGGAATGTAAATGATGAGCAAAGGAACAGCAATCCCATGTTCTAGTTCCTCAGGCTACATACTTTTTGTTGCTGTTGTTGTTGTTGTTCATGGGGCTTGAACTCTGGGCCTGAGTGTTGTCCCTCAGCTCTTCAGCTCAAGGTGAGCATTCTACGTCTTGAGCCACAGCACCACTTCCAGTTTTCTAGTGGTTTATTTGAGATAAGAGTCTCACAGACTTTTCTTGCCCAGGCTGGCTTTGAACCAGGGGCCTCAGATCTTACCCTCTTGAGTAGCTAGGATGACAGGCGTGAGCCACCGGTGTCCGGCTCTGCCCCCAGCAGGTGGACAATCTCATTCCTGCCTCCCCTGCTCGCCCGTTAAGTTCAGCTCCCCTCTTCCCCCACAAACAGGAGAAGAGACCCTATTGTCCTTTGTGTCCCTTGTTCCCTTCTCCTACTCAGATCCTTCCCCTGGCTCCTTGTTACCCAAGGGAAAGGACAAAATCTTTCCAGTGGTCCCAAGCTCCTACACCATCTGGCCCTGCGTTATTCTTCCCCATACTCACATTGCTGCAGCCGTTGCACTATCCTCGCTCTCATTCCAACAGTGCAGGCATATTCCTGTCACCAGGACCTTTGTACTGGCTATACCTTCTAGAACATTCTTCTGTATGTGGCTTATCCTCTCCTTTTATGACTTTATACAATTATCACCGCAGTAAGTACCTCCCTGAGAAACCTATTCAAAATCGCAATCACACAATAGGTCTAATTTTTTCCCCCATCTTCCTTATTTCCTGTCTGAAAACACAGCCTTCCTAGGTATCAAAAGTTTAATATATGTGTGTATGGGTTTTGGGTTTTTTGTTGTTGTTGTTGGACATGGGGCTTGAACTCTGGGCCTGGGCACTGTCCTTGAACTCTTCAGCTCAAAGCTAAGGCTCTACCTCTTGAGCCACAGCACCACTTCCGATTTTGTGGGGGTAAATTGGAGATAAGAGTCTCATGGACTTTCCTGCCCGGGCTGGCTTTGAACTGTGATCCTCAGATCTCAGCCTCCTGAGTAGCTAGGATTACGGGTATGAGCTACTGGCTCCCAGCATGTGTGTATGTTAATGCCACAGTGAAACCCCTTTGTGCAATTCACTGCACAAAGAAAAAGAAAGGAAAGGAAAGGAAAGGCCACACTGTAGTGGTGCACACCTGCAATCCTAGCTACTCAAGAGGATTGTGGTTTGAAACAAACCCAAGACTCCATCTCTAAAACGACCAGTAAAAAAGCTGAGCTGGAGGTATGGTTGCCCACAGTGCAAGCAAGCCAGGCAGGAAGGCCTGAGTTCAAATCCTGGTACCAGCTATCTATCTATCTGTCTGTCTGTCTGTCTGTCTGTCTGTCTATCTATGTGAGTTGACTCCTGTGATGGAATGCCAGCTCCAGTAGGGCCAGGATCGTTCTCTGATTCCTTGCTGTGTTTCCAATACCTAAAACAGTGCCTGGCACCTAAGTATTCAGTAAATGTGTTGAATAAATTAATGGAATGAATGAACGCATAGAATGTTGTGTGCATTTTGGCACTTGCTCGGAACAATGTGAATTGCCAAGAACACCTAGAGGAACAGAATGGGTTCCCTGAGACAGAAAGGGAGCCAGCCTCAGAGTAAGGGAGGATGAGATGTGGGCATAGACAGTTCCTGTCTGTGGAGTTTTTGCTCCATGCTCTGGCTGGAACCTGCACAGTGATCTTTGTGGCTGGTATGCTGTGGTGCTCAATGAATGTGTATGTATGCTAAAAGGGTCAAATGAATGAGGCAGAAATGATGCTCAAGTAACAGAAATTAATGGAGGGTCTGAAAAGTGTTACTTCAAGTTAGGAATCAGGGACTCATGCCTATCATCCTACCTAGTCAAGTGGCTGAGCTCCAAAGAGGATTGAGGTTGGAAACCAACTGGGGCAATGTCTTTGAAATCTCATCTCCCAAAAAGCAAAAAGCAGGGCTGGAGGCATGGCTCAACTGGTAGAGCACCGGTGGAGCAAGCTAGCCAAGTTAGTTGAACCAGGCCCTGAGCTCAAATCCTGGTAACTGGGGGGAGGAAAAAAAAAGATTAAAGTCCTAGTAGAGAACAGGGCTTAGTATGGGTAGAAGAAAAATACTCCAGGTGAAAGGAACTGCCCCATGGAGGTGTGCCAATAGAAACGACACAGGAACTTGGCTGGCTGGCCAAGGGAGAGGGCTTCAGCAAAGAGACATGATTTTTTTTGGGTGGTGGGTCGGTTGTGGGGCTTGAACTCTGGGTCTGGGTGCTGTCCCTGAGCAAGGCCAGCACTCTACCACTTGAGCCACAGCACCTCTTCTGGCTTTTTGTTTTGTTTTGTTTTTTTTTGGTCGGTCGTGGGGTTTGAACTCTGGGTTTAGGCGCTGTCCCTGTGCTCTTCAGCTCAAGGCAAGTGCTCTACCACTTGAGCCACAGTGCCACTTCTGGTTTTCTAGTGGTTTATTGGAGATAAGAGCCTCACAGACTTTCCTGCCGGGGCTGGCTTTGAACCTCAATCCTCAGATCTCAGCCTCTTGAGTAGCTAGGATTACAGGTGCCCTGCCACTTCTACCTTTTTCTGCTTATGTGGTGCTGATGAATCGAACCCAAGGCCTCATGTGTACAAGGCAAGCACTCTACCACTGAGCCACCTTCCCAGCCCCAAGAGAAATTGATGTTGTATATGTTGGTGAGCTAAGCAAGATAGGACTTTAACAAAATAGTACCATAACAGCACTGGGTGTGATGATGTATACCTGTATGTATCATTATTTTTTTTGGTCTGTAGGGGTGCTAGAACTCAGGCCTGAGCACTGTCCCTGGGCTTCTTTGCTCAAGGCTAGCGCTCTGCCACTTTTAGTCACAGTGCCACTTCTAGTTTTCTGGTGGTTAATTGGAGATAAGGACCTCACGGACTTTCCTGCCTGGGTTGGCTTTGAACTATGATCCTCAGATCTCAGCCTCCTGAGTAGTTAGGATTACAGGTATGAGCCACTAGCAGCCAGCAGCTTCTGTTTTTTTAAATTTAGGTGGTTAATTAGAGGTAAGAGTCCTACAGACTTTCCTGCACAGGTTGGCTTTGAAACTGGATCCTTAGATCTCAGCTTCCTGGATAGCTAGGATTACAGGCCTGAGCCACGAGTGTCTCGCTGATGTATACCTAAAATCCCAGCACTTGGTAGACTGAAGCAGGAGAATCTGGAATTCAAGGCCAGCCTGAGCTACAAGGCAAGTCCCTATCTCAACAAACAGGACTATGGCCAGGTACCGGTGGTTCACACCTTTAATCCTAGCTTCTCAGGAGGCTGAGATCTGAGGACTGGGGTACAAAGGAAGCCCAAGTAGTAAAGTTCATGAGACTGTCATCTCCAACTAAGAAAAAACAAGCTGGAGGTGGAGCTGGCTCAAATGGTAAAATACTAGCCTTGAGCACAAAAAGCTCAAGGACAGAGTCCAGGCCCTGAGTCCAATCCCCAGGATTGGCACCAAAAACAAAACAATTCAACAACAACAAAAACCACCCTCAAACTATGAAAGGAACTCCATGATAGAGTGCTGCCTAGCATGTGCAAAGGCCCTGGTTTCCATCCCCAGCCTTTCCTGTATTTCAGCATATGCTGTACCCTAGACAATGGGCCCTAACCACAGACTTGTTTACCAGTAAGTACTATAATTGGCCCTGTTTGATGGAAGAAGAAACTGAGGCTCAGAGATGAGCTCAATTACTAGAGGGCCTGAGCCTGAACTCATGTTTACTTGGTTCCAGCGCTCTCACTCTCAGTGTGTGGGGGGGGCGTCTACTTAAGGGCATGAGCTGGGAAGGGTGGTTCTCCCCTAGCTGAGGCCCTTGATCTCTCCCAGTCCCACATAGACAGCGACTCCTCCTCCAGTCACAGTCGCCAGGAGACACCTCCCGCCTCCGCAGCCGCCCCCATCATCACCGTGGAGTCAGCTTCTACTTTCGGGCCGGCCATGTCCCCCCAGCACCACCGTTCCTCTGCTCAGGTGTGACCCCCCATCCCTCAGCCCCTCAGCCATCCTTTGGGTGAAATGGGAACAGGTGCTAGGGTCTCTAAGGGGGGCTGGAGCTGAGGCCCCGAGGGCTGGCCAGCCTGACTACTGGAGTGGGTGTGGGGAGGGGGAAGGCGGTAGAGGTAGAGACAGGCCTGGGTCTCTCCCAAGGCTGGATGCTTCCTGGAGATTTGATGGAGAGTTCTAAATCCTAGAGGGGCATTGGGGACGATGTGGACAAGTTTTGTAGTGTATTCGAAAATGCTGGTATTAGCCAGGTGTCAGGGGCTCATGCCTATAATCTCAGCTACTTAAGAGGCTGAGATCTGAAGACCCCGTTGGAAGTTAGCATGGACAGGAAAGTCCATGAGACTCTTATCTCCAATTAACCAGCAAAAAGCTGGAAATGAGCTATGACTCCAGTGGTAGAGCTCCAGCCTTGAGCAAAAAAGCTCAGGAACAGTGCCCAAACCCTCAGTTTAAGCCTTAGGAACAAAACAGCAGCAAAAAAGAGACGGCTGGTAATCACAGAAGGATGCCTTAGGGTTGCAAAGGTGGGAAGGCTTGGTACCCAAGGAATCCAAGGGGCAGGAATCCATCGTGAAAGGCAGAGAGGTTGGGAGATGTGACTCCTGGATCTTGAGAGTGACAAGTCTCCTGCCTCTAGGAAAGGAGGGACCCACGGGACTCCACACAGGAGCAGGCGAGGGTCTTGAAAGTCTTAAGTCCCAAACTCAGAAAGTATTTGAGGAGTCAAGTTCCTTGGGTGACCTAGGCCTATAGCTGCATCTTGTTTTTTGTGTTTTCTTTTTTTGTGCCAATCCCAGGGCTTGAACTCAGGGCCTGCATGCTGCCTCTGAGCTTCTGTGCTCAGGCTAGTGCTCTATTACATGAGCCACAGCTCCGTTTTGAGCTGTTTGCTGGTTAATTACAGATAAGAATCTCATCGATGGGCTGGGAATGTGGCTTAGTGGCAGAGTGCTTGCCTAGCCTGCATGAAGCCCTGGGTTTGCTTCCTCGGTACCACATACACAAAAAGCTGGAAGTAGGGGCTGGGAAGGTGGCTCAGTGGTAGAGTGCTTGCCTAGCCTGCATGAGGCCCTAGGTTCGATTCCTCAGCACCACATAAGCAAAAAGAAAAAAGCCGGAAGTGGCGCTGTGGCTCATGTGGTAGAGCGCTAGCCTTGAGCTGAAGAGTTGAGGGAAAGCGCCCAGGTCCTGAGTTCAAGCCCCAGGTCCTTCAATTAAAAAAAAAGAAGAAGAACCTCATGGACTTTCCTAACCAGGCTAGTTTGAGTCATGATTCTCAGATCTCAGTCTCTTGAGTAGCTGGGATTACAGGTGTGAGCCACTAGCCTCCCCCTGGATCTTGGAATTCATGGATCTTTTGAGATAGGGATGGATCGCGGTGGGAATGGACTGTGAGTCACAGATCTGGCTAATGTGATCTCCTTGTCCCTTGGTCCCGCAGAGCTATCCTCCGCTTCTACCTTTCACAGGGATCCCGGAGCCCTCAGAACCTGTGGCTGGGGCAGGGGGTCCGGGCTGGGGTGGCCGTGGCTATGAGGATTACCGACGCTCGGGGCCACCTGCGCCCCTCACCTTGTCCACCTGCGTCGTGCGCTTCGCCAAGACTGGCACATTGAGGGGCGCATCTCCAGGTCCCCCAGTGTCACTACCTGCTCCTCTCACCGAGGCTGTTCCCCCAGCACCCCCGGCTCGCCCACCCCCAGGTCCCGGACCCACTCCTGTGCCAGCCAAGGCCTCCCCAGAGGCGGAGGAGGCTGCGCGCTGTGTCCATTGCCGGGCGCTCTTCCGTCGGCGTGCAGACGGTCGTGGTGGCCGCTGCGCAGAGGCCCCGGACCCGGGTCGCCTGCTGGTGCGTCGTCTCAGCTGCCTCTGGTGCGCCGAGAGCTTGCTCTACCACTGCCTGTCGGACGCCGAAGGTGACTTCTCGGACCCCTGTGCCTGCGAGCCGGGCCACCCGCGCCCTGCTGCGCGCTGGGCCGCGCTGGCCGCGCTGTCCCTGGCCGTGCCCTGCCTCTGCTGCTATGCGCCCCTGCGCGCCTGCCACTGGGTCGCCTCCCGGTGTGGCTGTGCCGGCTGCGGGGGACGCCACGAGGAGGCTGCGCGGTGAGGAAGTGACCGTCTTGGTGTGGGGTCCTGCAGCCGGATGGAGGACCTCCCTCCAAAACAACAACAAATGGAGGGTTCAGGACTCTGGACATTCTCTCTCTCTCTCTCTCTCTCTCTCTCTCTTTTGCTCTCTCTTTCACACACTCTCTCTCATTCTCTCTCTCTCTCTCAAATCTAAATCTCTCAAAACCTTTGGGCACATCCCAGAATTTGGAGCTTTGAGTTTGGATTGACTTAGAATCTGGAACCCCAAACCTAGGATTGAGAAACTGAGAAACACCCCCCCACCCCCACCCCAGCATCACTAGGAGGTCTGTCAAAACCACTGAGGCATCCTGAATTCTGCATTCTCCATTTCTTCTTGTCCACTGAGGGACCTCCTGACATCTCCCAAATTGTATCCCAGAGGGCCTTGCAGGGCACACAGAACCCCTAAAAGATGCAGGGACCATAAACCCTGAATCCTCGTCTGTCTGACTAACCATCGGCCCTGGTTACACCTGGCACCATGAACCCTCAGATTACAGCCCCAGAGTTAGTCAGGTGTTGCCAATAACAAATTACTCCCAGATCTTGAGATGAGAGGGTCTAGAATCACCCCTAAAATGATCCCTGAATATTCTGAGACCTAGTGTACCTCTATCTGAGATGCCCCTCAGGACCCATGAGACACCAAACCCCTCCTGGGTTTGTGGTATGGGCTGGAATGCCTAGATTCTGGCCCCAAGTCTACCCAACTTCTGAATGTCTATTGACCTGGTCATCAGTTTGGGACAGCAAGATTTTAGAAGTCTGGATAACCTCCAGATACTGAAGTATTTTCTGATCAAAATGACCTTCGGAGGGCCAGCCCAGGGCTCGGTAAATTCCATGTGTCACGGACTGAGATGCTCTGGGAGCCAAGAGTACACCTGTATAGACCCACCTGCCCCTAAGCCAGTGTTCTTGGTTCTTATGTATGGACTAGAGGTGCCTGTTACCCCCAGGTATATGACTGGGGGGTGGGTGTGCACTGCCTCCTTAGAGCCCAAAATCCTGGTCTCAAGTCCTCCACAATCCTCTTCTAGTTCCCCATTTGGATGTAGATTTTGAGATCCCAAATGCCCTGGAATCTTTGGCCACCTCTTATTGTCAGTTCCTCAGTCACCTAAAGGCCAAGTTGGGAGTCTAGCTCCAGAAAGCTGGGGTGGCAATAGCCACTCAGACCTCTGATCCCTCAGTGACTCCAAGGTGCTTTAAGAGCACTGGATCCAAGATTCCAAGGTGCCATTGACACCCCTAGATGCAGGGCTCAAGTACTATAATATTGGGATTGTTACTGATACAGGACCTTGTTCTCCATCCCAGAGACCTACAGATCTGAGCTGTCCCAGGACCCTAATATTCTCTCAGACTCCAGATTCTTTTGGATTTAAATGCTACTAATCTGATGAAGCCTGGAAATGCCTCTGCTGGATCCTGCTGCGAATCCTCAGAAAACGATAGCCCCTAGTATTCTACCATTCCATAGATCCATGAAACTCCAAGGTCTCAGGCCCTGGAATTCTTGTCCCCAGGACCCTAGCTCAAGCCCCCAGCAGCCTTAGAATTACTCTTTATAGCCCCCCCCCCTTTTTTTATGGTCTGAGACTGGGACTTGAACTCAGTACCTGACACTTTCTCTCATTTGGCTAGTGCTCTAACAACTGAGCCACACCTCCAATCCCATCCAACCCCCTCCTCTATCCTAATTTAGATTACAGGAGTTCCCCACTCCCACCTCTAAAGGCCTGGCTTTGCTACAGAGGATTATGCAAGCTGTTTGTTAAACAAAGGCACACAATGAAGACAATGACCACGGGCTTTAGTGTCACCTGGTGGCCAATCCAGGCAATCAGACAAGGCCTGCCTTAAAAATTTTTTTTATTATTATTATAAAGATGATGTACAGAGAGGGGTTACAGTTATATAAATCAGGTAAAGAGTACATTTCTTTTTGGACAATGTCACCTTTTCCTTTGCTCCCTCCCAGTTTTTCCCTCCTGTCGCCACCGTTAGCTGTATAGTCCATTTTGTCCTGCCCTTTTCTGATTGGCACAAAAGCAATTTCACTCTGTGGGAACCCCTATTCCCCAGCCTTGAAGATCCCCCTAAAGTCCAACCCTGAGCACTAACCCTGGCCCAAGTCCACCTACCCCTCCTCTTCTGTGTCAGTTAGAATGCTTCAAAGGCTTTATGATACTGCTCTCCGGGCTTCATCCAGGGAGAATGCCATACTCTCTGTCCTGAGTGGGACCAGATGGCTGGCGCACCTAAGATCTGTCCAGAATGGGAGATAGCAAGGTCTTGTAGCAAGAATGTCTCAAAAAATATATATTTTTAAATGGCTTTGGACCTGCCTCTGGCCCCAAGCATCTAGCAATGTGCACTTACTACCCCTTTCTTCATTACCCACACTCTGATGGCCTTGTGTGTGTGTGTGTGCGTGTGTGAGGGGTCCTTCAAGGCATAGCTTGTTCTGTCACTTTAAATTATTAACTATTTATTGCATCCGGAACCTGTGAGACTCAGCTCTCCCAAACCAGACCCTGGGATGGGTGAGAGAAAAAGAAGGGAGGGTGTTCCTCCCGTCCCTACTCTGCCCAGCTCTCATTACTGTCACCCCACCAGAGCTGAGGGCAGAGGGGCTGGGGGCGGCTTGGGTCCCCATCCCCCTCTCTGTGCCTCGGTCTCCCCCCCTTCTGTGGTGGGCTGGGGGGAAGCTCCATTCTTAAAACCTACCTCGTTTGGGGGAGGGGGGTGGGATGGGAGACCAGAGTGCTGTACAGTGCTGTGAGATCTTTGGATAAAGTGGTGCCCCCCCCACTCCCCCCAGAAGGTTCTTTCTGGGGCCTCCACCTCCCAGCCCCACCTCTCCCAGATCTAGCCCTCTTGCTCCCTGCTGATACCCACCTCTTGATCCATGATTGCCCTTCATCACTCCCCCCCTAAATCAGGGGTGCTTGGAAGGTTGACCCTGGGAGCCAGGAAGACCTCAGACCCTGGAGCCCCCAGGTCAGATTTCCCAGCTGCTTGCCCCTCAGATGGGTTGCTTGGCCCGTAGATTTGGGGGAGGCACCCCAACACTTATCTTCCTGGTCTTGATTCCAAGCCAGTCTTGGGACTTCAATTATCGTTAGCACCACGGCAGGCTGAAGTGGTAGGAGGATGGGGGCCAAAGGCCCAGCCTTGTCATGGGGGAGGGGGCTTGAGATCTGCTCCAAGAAATGTCTATGATAAAGACTTGGCTTGTGTTTTTTATTTGTGTGGATGCGCCCTTGTCCACTCCTGTTTCTGAACTGGTAGATGAGTCTCCTGCCTCAGTTCTCCTTTCCCTCCACATCCTTTAGTCCCTGGGTGTTATACACATTTAGTCACTCAGCAAGTACATTCATTGAACACTCATGAGGGTGCCAAGCCTTGTAGGCACAAGGAAGCCAATGAACAGGGTTGGGCATGGTAGCTCTCCGCTTCCTCAGGAGATGGAGACAGAATTTTGGTCCTGAGGCAGACCAAGGAAAAAGCCCAGACACTATTTAAAAAATAACTAAAGCTTGTGGCTGGGAAGGTGGCTCAGTGGTAGAGCACTTGCCTTGCATGCATGAGGCCCTGGGTTTGATTCCTCAGCACCACATAAGCCAAAAGAAAAAAAAAGCCAGAAGTGGCACTGTGGCTCAAGTGGTAGAGTGCTAGCCTTGAGCTGAAGAGCTGAGAGACAGTGCCCAGGCCCAGAATTCAGACCCCATGACCGGACCCCCCCCCCCAAAAAAAAAAAAAAAAACTAAAGCAAAAGGTTGAGGGCTTGAATTTAAACCCCAGTACCTCTTCCTCATTAAAAAGAAAAAAAAAGCCAGCACCAGTGGCTCACACCTGTAATCCTAGCTACTCAGGAGGCTGAGATCTGAGAATCATGGGTTGAAGCCAGGCTGTGAAACTCCAATTAACCATCCCCCCAAAACCCTTAGTGGTAGAGTGCTAGCTTTGAGCTCAAAGCTCAGGGATAGCACCCAGGCCTTGAGTTTATACCCCCAGGCCCAGCACGTATGTGGACACACACACACACACACACACACACACACACACACACACACACACAGAACCCAACCCAGCAAACAGGCAGAAATCCTTCCTTCCCTTGGGAGTTTATGACTTCCTGGTGGTGAGGGAGACAATGAGTCACCTTGACTGTTTTATTCACGAAGAAACAAAAAGTGAGCATAAGGGATGCAGATGCTTGGTTTTGGCCATGGTCAGAATAGGTCTTACTCAGGAACCTCCACAAAGATGAGGGGGATGTGTTCATGTCTGTAGGGAAGAGCATTCCAATAAGAGGGACCAGACAATGTTAGGGAAGTGCTTAGAGGGGAGGACACCAGGAGATTCCTGAGGAAGGGAGGACATGAGTGTCTGGGAAGGTCTGGTGCCAAGCAAGCCATCCTGTGGACTTTGGTTTCTCTCTCTAACTGGTATGGGATTGGAGGAAGGGCCTTCTGTTTAAGGGTTCCATCCTCCGAGTCACACCCTAGTCCTGGACATTGGTTTTGACTCTAGTCTTGAGCTGGAGTCACAGGCAGTCCCCTACCAAGGAAGGGTGTGGATCCTGTGTGCTAGCTCCCAGGGTGTGGGGAGGGGCCAGAGGACATTGGATCCATTTGGAGAGGTAAAATACACTGATTTCTCGGTGGGTTTGATAGAATCAGGGCTTGTGGGCGGGGTGTGGCTTGTGGCAGAGCTTTGCCTGTGTGTGTCTGGGTTCTATTCCCTGTACCAAAAGAATAGAAGAAGAGAGAAGAGGAAAGAGAGAAGGATGAAGGGGAGAAAAAGAGGACTCAAAAGGTTATAAGCCCAAATTTTTGGACTCAGTAATTTCAATGCTTTACTGAAGTCAATAAATGCCATTCTGGGTACCTCCTAGGCACAGCCAGAGCTATGGAGAGGAGCAGGGTAAGAGCAGGCTGTGGCTCTGACAAGTTCAGGCCTTTA